CTGCCCTGCGTACACACACATGCACGTGCGCGCGCACACACACACACACACACACACACAGACGTGTACACACACACGTGCACACACAGACGCATACACACACATGTGCACACACAGACGCGTACACACACACACACAGACGCACACACAGACGTACACACACACACACACACACACACACAGATGCACACGCGCTCTGCCTGACTGTCCAAATTCCATTTGTTTATTATGCAGAAAAATTGGCCATTCAGGCTTGCCCAAAGGGCCTCTTTTCTTTCAACTAAAAAGAAGCGCCAAAGCTCCCTGAGCTGTTTTCCTCCAAACTGGAGGCCTGTCTACCTCGAGACGGATGACAATCTCTCCTAGGAGGCAGAAGTGTCTAGTCAGTTCCGTATCTCTAAAGTTATGATGCCAATTTTCGAATGTGGCATTTGGAGGCACTTTTATTACTTTTTCATCATATGGTGAATAAAGAAGTATAAGAAGTTCTATGTCAAACCCTTTGTTTATTTGGCTATAAAAAGCAAACGAAAAAAGAATTACAGCTCAGCCTTCGGCACATCAACTTTTTAAACAGAAAATATTAGAGTCCGTCTGCACCGTGTTGAATAATCTTGCCAGATGGCTGTGCAAATGAACTGAAGCAAAACAGGCCAGATTTATGGTTTCGTTGCAGTTGGAAATAACTTTCTATTGTTAAAAGTAACAACTGTATGTTAAGGTGTAGCCGGCTTATGTAACAGTGTTGGGTTGCAAGATATGCTAGAAAATAGTTATATTGCAGAAAATGGTGAACATTCGCCTGAGAAAAGGGCTTATTCATTATGTCTCAGCGACACCAAGGGTGTTTGCATGTAATAATCCAATTTTACCAAAAGATCATCTGATTGTAGAAGTTCTAGGGCATAAGCCTCTGCTCTAAAACATCGATTGCTGGACTTTTTTCAGACAGTCATCTTCCCTCCATTGCTGCCACCTCAGAAAAACTTAAACATGCTGGCCATCGTGTTTTCTCTTCTGTAACCCAGGGTCCTGGAGAGCATAACACGGGGCGCTCTCAGCAGATGTGGTGTGACTATGCCAGCTAGGAACCAGAGCAGGCTCGTGGGCATCAAGAGTGGATGATGGTCGCCAGGTGGCAGGGAGGCTGCAGGGGTGAGGGGTGCGGTGAAAAAGGGGAAGGGATTCGGAAGTACCGAGTGACTGTTACAAAATAGTCACGGGGATGTAAAGCATAGGGAATATAGTCAATAATACCGTAATAACTAGGTACGGAGCCAGCTGGGGACTAGACTTATTGGGGGGGGGATCACTTCGTAAGTTATATGAATGTCTAACCACTGTGCTGTACAACCGAAACGAATATAATATTGTATGTCAACTGTAATTGAAAAATTAAAAAAGAAAAAAAAGAACTGGACCATGGGACATCCAAAGACCAGCTGGAATGAAGCTGTCCTCAGCGGATGAAAGCACATGACCTTCCAGGGCCGGATACTGTCCTCGCCATCCCCATGACTGGCCATGGCCATGTGCCCAAAGAAAGGGGAGGGGGGACAGAACGGGTTGACTGAGGTTAACCAGGAACAAAAGAGCCTTGAGAAGATCCTCTTATCCTAACAACTCAGTGGCTAATGAGGATGCAGGACTGGGTGATGGCTGGCTGGGTTGATCATTAGTGAGGCTGGAACCATTCTCCAGGTACTTGGGGAGAAAAACACACCCGCGCTTTTCCTATACCAAAATATTCTAGATGGTAAAACATAGTGTAAATAAAAGCTGAAAGGAAATACAAGGAAATACGTATGTTCCGACTGAATCTAAGATGTGAAATTTCAAAGGAAAACATTGACAGATTTCATGATATAAAGATTTTTAAAAATTTGCATGCAGAAAATGTCTCATGACTGAATTTAAAATGCACATCCATTGGGAAAACTATATGACAGTGAATGAGGCCGGAGTTTACATCCTAAGAATATAAAGAACTCTGGCTAATACATGAGGACAGGTCAATATCTCAAAAGACAAATAGGCCAAGGACGTGAATTGACATATTATAAGTAGAAATTATAAATGGTTGACATAGAAAAATGCTTAATATCATTAGCTAATGTTCAGGAAGTAGAAACTAAAACAAGAATGCCTTTTAATGTTTATCAACTTAGGGAAGATTAAACACAATGATAATACTGTGAGACACTCATGCACTTTGCTGTTGGGAGAGTAAGTTGAGACAAATCATTTGAACAGGAACTTGGGGATCTGTAGCAAAAGTTTAAAAGGGATTAAAATAGGAAACAACCTATCTTTTCCAGATAGGGGACAACTTTAGGAAATCAGTGTATATCTACACGCTGTACTATTATATGGCCATGAAAACGGAGGCATTTGAAAATATTTAATGACATGCGAAAATGCATATGCTATAATGTTAAAGTGGCAAAAAGCAACATGCCGAATTATATATACAGTGTGATCGCAGCTACGCGAATAAACATGCATGGAAAGAGTTTGAAAAAAAGGCATCAATCAACCCGTGCTTATTATTTTGGAGTGTTGTAATGATCAGTGATCTTATTTTTCTTTCTACTTTTCTGTACTTCTGATAGTGCAGAAGAATTCTAAGTTGGAAAAAATTCAAAAAATAATCTGTTAGAAATAAATATATACTTTAAGCTTTACTGCAACTTAACTAGTGGCTCCTGTTCTCATGGTTCAGCGTGGCTAATTCATTTGTGTCAAGCTATTAAAATGACCCAGCTGATGACTCAGGTAACACTTTTATGGCCCTCATATGTCAGGGGCCATAGTAAGCACTTTACATGTATCATTTAGAATTCACGATACTCATATGAGGTGGGTCATATTAGTGTCCACATTTTATGGAGCAGGAGGTCGAGGCACAGAGAGGTTAATTAACTGCCGAGGTCACACAGCTAGTGAATGGTGGATTCAAACTCAGGTAATATTGCTCCAGTGACCCTCCCCTCTGTGCTCTGCGTGGTTATATTTAAGAGAATAGACAACCCTGTGTTTCAGAAAATAAACAAATAATAAAACCTTATGAAAACAAACCAGCATCAAACAACAGTAATAAATGTAAAAGGACACTCATGGGTCATCCATCTCATTTATGAAATAAGAGACAAATTAGATAATCTTTACTATCCCCCTGGATGTAAATTCTATGATTATATTTATTAGCAGGAAAAACTGACTTCTGTATATGGTACTAAGAATGCCAGTTATTTCCCCCACTTATCACGTCCTTCCTAACCTCACACCTTTTTATTGGCGCTCCTCTCACGCGACCCCTGATACCACCCCTCCCCACAGCCCCGCTGATGGAGCAGGGGAAGTTATCCGGCCCACCCCAGGCCGGTAATCCCTGGGTTCGGAATCAGTGTGCCAAGATTCTAGCCCACCCTTGTCCGCGCGTGCTGTGGGTTCAGTGTGGGCCTCTGGTGACCATTTTGCACCACGTGTTAGAGAAGCAAAGAAGGCAGCTAGCAGAGTGAGAAGACAAAACGCTCCCAGAGAAGAGAGGGGTCCTGAGCCTGCAGCCCCATGGAGGCCGGTGAGGGGGTGCCCTGGACCGGTAGGGCACACGGTTGTCTGGTTTCCCAGCAACTTTCTCCATCTTGGTTCTAGGAAGCCGTGAGGCTTGACCTGGGACCCCACAAGATAGCCAGTGCCCTTTCAATAACCCCCCATGTGTGCTTTATCTATCGGTCGTTTGAGTGGGATTCTTACCTGCTGCCAACCACCTGAGACATGCGTGCAGCCGGTTCCCAGCACAGGTGACCGTTCTCCGCACGGAGCTGTTATGGGAATGAGGTGAAACGAGCTCCTGAAAGCATCCAGCACACTGCCGAGCACAGGGGAGCAGCGCTAGCCCACCTTTGTCCCACTGCATCTCGGGAAAGGTCAAAGGGCTCGGCGTCCCCTGTGCTAAGTACAAGGAGGTCCTAGAGACAGTGGTGGGAGCTGGGCTGGGGCTGGGATGGCGTGGAAGACAGCATGGGTGTCAACGGCATACGCCTCTAGTTCCCACATGGGCCGAACTATAAACTGTCTCCCCTGCTTAGCGTCCTGATGAAATAATGACGGTCAGGAGTGACCAAGGAGACAGCCAGGTGGGCTGTGTAAGCTCTTTACTGAGGCAGGAAGCACATTCCTTTTAGAAGGCCTCTTCTTAAGACATGGAAGAGAGGAAATTCTGTTATTTGAAGGCGTCGCCCTGGACCTCTGAGGGTTCCAAGATATGAGTATTTCGGCTTCCCTTTGTGGAGTACTTCTCTGTGCGTGGTGACATGTTATTTCAGGTAATCCTCAAGGAACACCAGGATGTGGGAACATCTCTGAACCAGGCAACAGGCCACGCCCAGGCTGACTGGACTAGGACTAGATGAAGGACTGTCCAAGCCAGGCTAATTAGTCTTTCCCTCTGTCATTGTCATGCCCATGATCAGGATGAGACTCACAAAGGCGAAATCCCTTTTTCAGTCACCTGTCTTGCAAGAGACACACTTGGGTTTGTGCCCAAGTCCGTTCAAGTGCAAAACTGCTACCTTGCTGCACAGAAACATGCTTGGCTTCTGTAGGTGAATGTGTCAAGTTTAGTGGGCATACCCTTGGCCTACGGGAGGGTCTGTGGGCTGGCATGGCACCAGAGTGGACATGCCTTTTGCTCTGTGGGCTGTGACTACATGGCTGGGACAACAGGACCAGCAGCCCAGGTGTGAGCAGCTAACGTCTCTGGGCAGACCTCGCCAGGGGATGGCTTTGAGTTGTCACCATCGGGGCTGGACTCTAGAAGAGAGATGTGCCTTCCACAGGTTTCTAAAAATAGCCTTGAACAGCTGGCACAGCGAAAATGTCCATTTGGTTGTAAATCATTTCTACAGCTGTAGGTAAAACCTCCAACCCTCTAACCCCCAGTGAGCCTCTCTTGGGTCCAAGTTAGTTATCCTTCACTTAAATAAACAGCCCCCAAATAGAAGCAGGTACACAAAAACTTTTATTGAGTGGAAGTTAGACCTCATGGTAATTAACCAGTTACAAGTGCATTTCAGCTCGTGTGTGTCGACACTGTCGCAGTCAGAACGGTCTTACTGACAGGCCCCGTGTTCTGGCTCAGCCTGGGCCAGTCCGGCCAAGCTAGAGCCACACAGCAGTCAGTATAGGTCAACAAGGATGTCCGGCTCGACGGGCCACACCAGGTTCATTGTCACAGCTAAGCATTACAGAACACGGAAGTCCAAAGACCAGAAGACTATTACTAACGTGATTCTTACCACAAACTTTGACTTCTATAAACGCTTCCACAGGACCAGGGGAGCAAACCCTTGACTCGGGGGGACAGTGTCCTTCTGGTATTTTCCACAGAAATGGGCCACAGGACCTGTAAACACTCAGTGGCCCTCCTGGTGCCCACTTTAGGTGAGTGCCACTGTCCCCTCGCGAAAGTGCAGTTTCGTGGAACTGGTATGAACGTTTCATGTTGTACATCTTCAATCTGAAATTTTTCTTCTATGTCAATTAGCACCAGTTTATTTTCAATATATATGTTTTTTTCTGGTGTTAAATATTTAGGAAACTTTTTTTTTTTCAACCAGCACACGAAGTCCCAAACAATGGAAAGCAAAAAAAAAAAAAAACATTCAAAAAGTTGTTGTAGAGAACAGCATTTAGAAAAACAACGTCATTTAAACATTCGACAAATCTATGTACAATGTGCCAAAAGCTGACAAGGAGCATGGCTGAGGGACGGTCACAAAAAGGCTTATGAGCCTGAACCTCCACAGGCTGATGTACAGCCAGCTAGGTCTGTAGAAATGCAGTATCAGAACATTGGAATTTGGCTAAAAATCATATAAAAAGACACATCCCCACCCAGCCTCTAACTAGGCAGCAGACATATCCAGTATAACCGTGAATACCAGCTTGAGAAGTGCGTCTTCCCTTACTTTACATACAAACAGTTGAGAAGCTTTCTCAGCAGACACAGAAGAGAACCAGAATGGTAGAGAAATGTTCTTTATTTATTTCCGCATTGTCAGATGAAGAACTGGGTTTTTTTGTTTGTTTCTCATACTGAGTAACGTAGCAAAACCCTGATTAAGGAGCAAAGATAAGTTGATAATGGGAAAGGTTTCATGAAAATACAAAATCAACAAGAGGGCTGAAGAAATGTGTGCATATTCTATACGGACTTCCCCCAGAATATATGTGATCATCTCCCTGTAATTCTGAAAAAAAAAAAAAAAAAGCAATGATTTGCTTGGCGGGACAATATTTTTATATTTTGTTCTTTGAAATTATATGACCTTTGAAGAACTTTTTTTTCCCCCCTTCGGTTGAGAATCAAACACACTAGACACAATCTATGCTGTATTTATCCAATGCCATACTCCTTAACTCTGTGCAGTTTTGTTTGCTTGTTAATCCAGTGTTACTGTTGCTAGGCCTCGGAAGAACTGGGCACATCTTGTGACAGCCAACATGTCCCTCTTCTGATTAAGAAGTAAAACAGAAACCATTTCCCATTTATTCACCATAACGACTGACTTTGTTTAGAGCCTGAAGTTTCAATGCACTGTCTTTAAAAATATCAGCTCAAAGAATCTAGGCGAGAGTCCCACATCCCCATAACAATACGCCTTCAAGTTCACTTTGAATAATTTCTGGTTGTGATAAGTCTCTATGAGAAGAATTTACTTGGATTCGACACAAAATAAACATTCCTCTTTGCAAATGCATAGTTTGTAACTTTATACATTCATTCACTAATATTAACTAAAGACTTTTATAAGCCATGTGTCCTTAACCTCCAAATGGTGGTAAGACTGAATTTCAAAGATCTCTAAAAATTGGATGGCGTTGCCCCATTGCTTTTGAATTCGTGCCCAATTACTGGTTAACGCCTGTCACTTGAACGCTGTCAAGTAACCGGAAGGACCAGCCGCTTTCTCTTTAGTAAGAAGAGCCTGTCCCCTTTACTGGTTTAGCAGGCACCAAAAAGCAATGCTTTCTACAGGCAGCATTTCCACTAACTACCCCATTTCAAATGTTTTCTAATCTCATCTTAATATTTTCGATTTGGTGTAGAAAAACAATTTGAAAGATGGCTTAATTTTTAAAAGTAGACTTTTTTTTTAAAGCCTTATCATGGCCTAAGGGCAACAGAGGTTTTCTGACAACTGCTGTTCCTCTCATTCCTCAGCCCCCCTCACAAGAAGAAGACCTTAGTCACAAACCCTTTGGGACCTAGCAGTTTTTTTCTTATCCTGAGTTCTTCTAAGTATATAGATTTTGATGCACGAAACGCTTTGGGAACTACACTAGTGTCTGGTTATTCCAGAGAGCACATGTTTAAATGGCTGACCACCGTCCAACCATTCATTACAAAAATAGTAGGAATTTTAGGGTGTGTTGTAGGAAAATATTGATAAAGGGCATTTTTTTTTTTACATATATGATCCACATTCCTGGGTTTACACCGAGGGCGTTTTCGGTTATTGAAGTCACAGAACAAGTATATTTGGGGGTATTGAGCTCTTCCCTAAACATCTAACTCCTAAACCTACCAGTGGTCACGGAGGCTCCCCAGTCAGGAGACTCGGAAAAAAGGGGGCTTTGCTTTCATCACAGGGCTTGGTCAAGGCTTTGCTATCTGCAAGCGATGCATCCTTATTTCAGGGTGGCGTAGGGGCCCTTTATGATTAAGCTACGCTGTTGATCACTGGGGCATAATTCCACCCCTGGCAGCAGCGGCTGGCCTGAGTTCCATCTCTTTCCTCTCTGCCCGCCATCTGTGCCCAAACATGAGTGGGAAGCACCAGGGCGAGGGACAAAGGCGTCACGATATGAGCAGACTGGAGCTGTGGCTTTCTCATCCCACAGATGTAAAATTAAAGCAACGGCACCCCACGGGAGCCACTTCCTTTCTCATAAAAAGGCCAGTTCAGTTTTCGCGCTGTATCATGTGGGCAGAGGTCCGGCCTGGGGTAACCAAAGGTGACGCGCCCTCCCTCTGCCCCTCCCTGTTGGTTATGGTCCTCCATCGTGGTCCACGGGGAAGGGGCTGGGGGAGTAGGGCCCTCTGAGTCAGACTGCGAGGACAAGCGATCTGCCTGTCGTTCATCAGCGAGTCTGACCGAGTCTTGCGCTGAGTGTGACAGGCTGTGAGCTGATGGCCCTGCTCTCTTTGAGTGATCACCCAAAACTGCTTAGACAGATGGGACTTCTCCCCCTCAAGGAAGGGGTGGCCTCACTGACTGAGCCCAGCTCACCAGTCACGGTGACATTTATCCCCTTGGACTTGATTCAAGAGTGAGAAGTGAGGAGCCCAGAAGAAAAATATTTCATCTGGGGCTTTGGGCAGGGAACATACATGACAGCGTGGCCGCTGGTGCGGGCAGGTGAGAGCAGACGGGAGAGGGATGTGTCACTGGCAAATGTGAGGCGGCTGCCAGATGGGGACTGTCCTCACTCTCACAAAGCTCAGCTTCTCCAGAGAGCTGGTTTTCCTCTTTAGTCAGGGTGCAGAGAGAATTCAGAAGAAAATAGATGAGCAACTTTTTTTTTTTTTTTTTAAAGAAAATGTCATTCTTTAATGACAGCTGTCTTGCCTTTTCCAGGAGTTGCTGCTTTATCCTCTGGCTAATTTTCTGAATTAAATATTTAGGGAATTGCCCCATAATTGAATGTAATACATGTGTCCCCCACTTCCCAAAGTTAGCGTTAGGCCACTGGGCTTTTACGAACGTCCCACGTTAGCAACCTGTTTTCGCTAAGTGAAAATTCCGAAGACGATTGTCGCTTTTAGAAAAAAGCCATTACCTACGAATGCAGGTCTTCAATTTACCATTTCTGTTTGCAAAGGGTTTCATCAGAACCTCTACCTTTCAGATAGCAGGGAAAACCTGTAGTTAATTAGATGTGAGAATTAATTTTTAACATTTCATAATTTATATTGGGTTGTCGGAAAAGTCATGACGCATTTTTGCACCGAAAAACATAGAAAAAATACGTATGACTTTCCCAACAGCCCAATATAAAGGGACTCTTTTCTTTGGGAAGTCAGCAGATCATTACATGGATGATGCCCAATGTGAAAGAACATTTTTGAAAAACAGGGACTACAGTTTAGGCATTGAGTTCACAATCCCCACCTTCTTTCAACATCTAGCCTTGTCCCCTTGGGGAACAGAAGTGTTCCTGTTCCCTACAGCTTGGGTCCTCCTGAGTCCTGCCACTGTCACGGCGTTGGTGCCACCATCGCCACACGGCCTTCTTCTCCAGCGGAGAAAAGTGCCCTGTTTCCTCCTCCAGCACTGGACTGTTACTTTACAGACATCAGTGTCATTTATGAAACAGCCTACTGATGAAGGAGGTGGCAGGCGACACTGGTTTAGGTCCCTTCCAGCTCCCTGCAAGTGGCTTTGCCGGGAACTCAAGGTGTGAGACTTGGTAAGCTGCGGGGAAGGGTGAGATGAAACCCATCACCTATTGGGCCACCTGTGCGTCACTCACAGTGACAGAAATCTCAGGCATCGCCTGTGTGGCTTAAACTGCAGTCGTATTTAAACACCACTCCACCAGATTCCCAGGGTTTCCCTACTTGAAGTTGATTTGATGGTTACAATTTGTAAATTTGAGCTGTTAAAAATTTTCTGGCATCAGCTTAAGTTTATATGGGTAATGTGAATGTTAGCAGCAAAATAACTTTCCCCAAGGAGTCAAAACTGTTGCTTGCATTAACTACCAAACTCCTCTAATAACCACTGAGATGGCTGGAACTTAGGGAACAGGCGGGCCCTATTCATGGTGCCGCCCTAAAGGTTACACTTGAGGGTGAGTACTTTTGCATTTGACAAGGTGAATGAATGGGCTCTGACTTCCGTGCTGAAAGACAGATTGAAAAGATAGGTTAAGAACCTTGATGGGTGGCTGGATCTTTTCAGGTCTGGCATTGTTCTAGAAGACTAAGGTCTGGGCTGTCAAAAGCCCTTTCTCTTCCTCCTCTTTGTGGGCAGTCATGAAGCTGACTCCCAGGTTCAAGACCACTCCAGGTTGGCCTTGGAGGTGGGTGATGGAGAACCTACCTATTCCTGCTCTACACTGGGTTCTTAGGAAGGTCAAGTGACACAGCGTGTCCGAAAGAGACCTACTTTATTACGTATGTGAAAGGGCTGGCGAGTATCCCAACACCATCGGGACTCTGGTGTGAGATACAGTCTAAAATCACTTAGGTCATCCCCATGAAGGAAGCTACGTCTAATTTTTTCCACGACACATTTATTCCCATTTTGTCTTTGCCCTCTGACAGAGAGGCTAAGGTTGTGTGTGGAGAAACGCCACTCTGAGCTCAGAGGACACTCCGTAACACCCAAGACCCTACCAGTTCTGAAGCAAGGATTTTACCACATAAGAGGTAAAAGGACAGAAATCTAACCCTGGAACAGGAAGTCACGCGTCAAGATGGACAGGAAGTGTCGGGGGAAGGGCTGGCCCAGGGGCCCCGCACGAGGCGGCCACGTGCCCTACTTTAGCTGCAGGGCTCTGCAGGGCTCCTGGCTGCCTTCTTTGAAGGCACAGGGCCGCCCTTTGCCACGCCCTCATCACAGTGGTCGCGGCAGTGAGAACAGAAAGGTAGGCTTATGGTCATTCAATGCTTTGGGGCACGGTCTGGGCACACCACAGGGAGGCGGCGTGGGAGCGGGGAGGGCGTCAGCGTATGTGGGTCAGAGGCAAAGGCTACTGGAAGGACATCACGTCTCTGCATTCAAGTCTTCCACGAGAATGGCTTCCAGGGAGAACGGACCTTTTTCCCTTCTTTGATTTTCATTGCCCAGACTGTGCCCAGGTGTGAGTTGGTGGGGCTGATGGAAGAGCCTCACCTGATGGCATGTAACACCTGCTGTCCCCGACAACTGGAGCTGGTGGCCAAAGGCTGCATCTGTCCACAAAGTGCTGGCCAGAAACCTGAGTCAGTTGTCAAACTTAAATGTCAGGTAACATCACATTTGATAACAGCCAAGTCAGCAACCTCACTGCCTCGGGCCTGACTTGTACATGGGTCTGATTGTCTAGAGCTGGGTCCCCCTTCACAGGGGCTGTGTGTTCTCATGCCCGCCATCATCCCCGCTTTTCTCTAGTGTCTGTTTTTCACCTATCCTGAATCACTCATTGACAGAAGCTACCTGGCCTTTCCAAGGCATCTGTTATATACCATTAGTAAGCTTCTACTTAGAGAGGGGGCAACACTCACTTGATTCAACACCAGACAGCAGTAAATGCTTCTCAGGACCTTTAATGCTAACAGTGGACACAGAGAGACTTGCCGACGGCCTCATCCTAGCCACCAGGATAGGCTGTCTCCACACTGTTCCCTAACTCTGCATGTTTCTAGTGCGCATGTGCTCAGATCCTAAAGCCCATGTGAAAGTAAGGTCTGAGCGACCCTCTCACCCCCTCCTAGGACTTGCCCCATGGGTGTGTGGCCATTCTATCCCAGTTTTCCTTTTGAGGTTACCTGCAGAATTGGCTAGTTAGCCTCACTTTTGAATGACTAAAATCTTAGAAAGAAAAGATGCTTTCTTGCATTAACAGCGAGTGGGCTAGATGAAACTGCACAGCGTTAGGACCGGTTTGGCAAAGCTCAGAATTACTGGTGCAGTTAATAAGCTTGCCACAGTTCCTTCTTCATTCCCAGCTCTCGGGAATACAGTGACTTTCTGATCTCAACCTGGCGTGTCTGTGAATTCTTCACGTGAAGAATCAAGCATTTGTTCTGCAAGAAAATTCAAGGTATTTAATGAATACCGAGGACAAAATGACTTCAAACACCACTGATCACCTAAGAATCCTATCTTTGGGCTTACATTCCATGATTTGAGAAATTTCCACCAAATGATACTTGCTAGTTAAATGCAGGTTTGTGGTTCTGGTAGGTTGAGCAGGAAGCTTGTCTTTGTGACGGAATCTATCTTTTTACACTAAAGAAATTTACAGGAATATTTCTCCCATTGCTTATATGCATGTCTGTTAACATTTTAAAGATTTGAGATACATAGGATGGTTTTTAAAGTGTCTTTTCCCCCACAAGACTGTGAAAACACACTGGTAGTGATAAAAGGAGTAGCTGTTGCCATTTTGAGTCTCTCATTATAATCTTTCCATCTAACCTGCATTTCTACCCTGCAGAGGGTTAATTGAAAAGATAGGCATCAAAACACTTGCTTAAAAGAGGCATAGCCCTTTGTTTGGAGAGCAGGAATTGCTTATAATATGAACACTTCCTGTCCGGTAAAATACTGTATTTTAAAAAATAAGCTACAATGTATAAAACCAAGGTCATTTCCCACAAAATGTTCATGTTCTTTGTGATTACAAAAACACGGCATCTTGTAAAATATTTCCAGTTCTGTTAACTTGAGAAGTACTAATGCGTATTAGAAAAGTGTCATGTCTCTCAGAATTGTAGAAGCCTAAGCAGTATATTTCTTGTCTGATTTGGAAAATTAAGTCATCGCCGTTACTGTATTTCAGATCACGTTTTTGACACAACACATTACCATGGTGATTCTCAGACCCACAAGAAGAGTTATAAAACATGAGATTGTCTTAAAAAAAAAAAAGGAACTATTTACAAAACAGGACCAGAAGTAAAATTCCCATTTTGATTGCTGGTCCTGTGATAGATACACCTTTTAAAGCATGTTGACCATTGGGTGTGAGCTTTTTCAAAGGCAGTCACAATAAGCAAACCAGGCAGTCTTACATCCATGTTATACTTGCTTGCCGGACTGGTGTGCGTTCCTTACTGATACGACTGGTGCCTAAAAGCGCTACTCTCACATCACTGACTTCTGGTTTGATTAGTTGCAATGCAAAAAAGACACGAGGAAACAGTTCCCAGAACCCCACGGCTAGGAGGAGCCGGAGAGTGTGTGAGCCGCTGGTCGCTGATCGGGCTATTTTCTTAGAGAAACGCCAACTTCCAGGTGACCTGTGTGCCCTGCACCTTCTCTAAAGCAACCCACATTCCCTCCACTATTCACGCACCCTGCTCCGTTTCCACCCATGCATGTGCACAGGTCCTTTCCTGTGCTCACACAGGGCAGTGCTACCGTTGACATGGTCGAGAGAATCCTGCAGGGTCAAGAGAAAAAGCAGCACCTTCCCCACAAAGGTGCAGAGGAGTTTGCTCCCTAAATGCCGTGACAGCATCGCACAGCCCTAGCGGCTTTCGCCATGTCGCTAACGACTAGGCATCCCACCGGTGATTAGAAAAGGGAACGCCAAGGCTTTGCGATTCACAGGTACATTCAGAAGGAGCCTCACGTGGGTCTGTGGACACCCACTGGGAATGCTAACTGTGGTCCAGATGTCGGCTTTCAAGCGCAGGTTCAGCCCCAGAGACATGGCTCTTTCGCACACAGCAGACATCCACGCCTCAACAAGTCGGCACTGTCCAGTTCCTGTGAATTTGTCTTGAAATGATTTCATGTTCATTAAAAAAAAACACAAAAAACTTAAGATTTTAGAGATAAAAAAAGTCTTCCTAGTTTCTTAAGAGCCTCCAGTTCCCTTTGTCACATAATTTTCCCTGAGGAAATGAATATTTTATATAGGATTTTCCTACTCCTCTCAAGGTATTCTCTCCCATGCGTACAATTCTCGTCACGTTTCCCTAAACATGCTCGAGCGCACACTGTGCTTGCGTTTCCCAATGACGTCTCATGACGGAAGAAGTGGGCTCAGGCTGCTGGCTAATTCAGAACCCAGGGCTGCTTGCAAAGGTGTGGAGTCCTGGCTCCTTCAGCGTACTGCCTTCTTGCTGCAGGCAGCCACCCCCCGAAACAAGTGGCAGCTCCCCGGGGGTGCCCAGGACAGCCACTGGGCTGATCAGCCCTAGGACGGTGACTGGGAACCAGGTGCCCACGGGCCTCTTGTATTTCCTCAGGGTCCCAAGCCCTCTTGCGACTTTCTCCAAGGTGTCACGCTGCTTCCCACAAATTGGGTACGCATCCTCTGGGAAGGGCTGAGGCTACTGCCCGATGGCCTCTTTCTGCCATGCCGCTGTCTGTCCATCACTATGACATGCCTTCTTGGAGAGAGGTGAGAAATCTTTTCTGAAGGAAGGGGTATCGGAGAGAGAAAAGTCAAGGCTACGACATGCCTTCTTTAGAAATACTCTGGGACCAGAATCCACAGCAGCGCCACTGTGTTTGCACAGACAGGTCTCTGAGGTCCCCGTGATGGATGGACAGCCTACAGCTCAGCAGCCAGAGCGTGTCGGGGGATGTCGCTTCCCAACCACTTCCCTCTGCTGAGTGAAGACAGACAGGAACCTGGTACCACAGAGATGGCATAAATGAAAGTCGGGCTTCATTTGGCACTTCGTTTCGTTCCAAAGTATAACAAAATAGCTGTACATTTTTTTTTTTTAATTTTAGCTTCTACAATCAGTGTTGTATATTGCAATTCATAGCTTTCTGGTGGCCTGCTAGAAATCGAACCCCATTTCTTTGAGGCCAGCCAGGCGAGGCTTGGTGGTCCCCTAATTATCACCCGGCTTGGTACAGGGAATGGGTGTCTGTGCAGTCTGGAAGCCAGAAAGGGCAGGCCGGCAGAAAGGGACCCCCCACGTGGGTGGGGGATTTGGAAGAGTGCGTGTAAAGGAGGCATTAGAGAGGGAAGTCTCCGGGCAGTTGCACTCAGTTCTTCCTTCTGCCTGTACCCGTGCCTTGGCTAAAATCCAGGTAAGGGCTGAGCTGGGCTCAGCCAGGCCCGAGCTCAGAACCCACGTCCTGTCACTCTTGGGGAGAGCCACGGAGTGGCCCCAGGACTGCTCCCCAGCAAAGGTCTCTCCCTCCTGCATCCCAGAGCTCTGTGGTGGTGGTGGTGGTGGTAGGTGGATTTGGCCCTTCATCACAGGATTAGGATCAAGAGCCAGGAGCCTTACTGAAGACGATCCCCCTGTTCCAGGGTCGCACCCCAACCACCGTTTGAGGACACGGTGAGCCTGCCGACACGGCTGACCAGCCCTGGCCTCACCACAGCCCCTGGGCACTCTACCCACAGCAGAGGGGGCCTGCAGGTGAAGTGACAGGTCTCCAGGGAGGAGAAAAGACATGCTGGGGTACAGGAGGCAGAGCATTTCTGCCCTTAAAAAAGAGCCCTCTCCTGGCTGACCCCGGCAGCACTAAACAGACATGAGAGCAGGCACTGCAGGGTGTGCTGAGGGGGCCTCCGGACGCGAAGTTAACCGGAGCTCTTTCTCTGCTCTCTTGGAATAAGTGTTTTTAAAGAAAAACGTAAATCAAGGAGGAACACAGGATCTCTTCCAAGAAATAATGTTTGAAAAGTCATGAGAGTTTGAAAAAATAAAATTGCCAAAATATATGAATGTAGATGTTCCACTGCAGAACCTCCTTAGATCTCCCTTGCTTATATAAAAAAAGGGTATCTGTTATTACTAGATGACGTCTCAATACTCTTTTAAAAAAGGCGTATGTACAATCTCTAGACATATATTAAACTTTCCTTTGTGCAACTTGATTTAACATTCCTGTGGCTGCTCCCAGGCGGCCCGTCCCGTGTACTGCATCCATCCTAGAAGGTGCTTGCACCTCTTTGCATAGGTATAGGAGGAATAACTCTTCAGCAGGGCAGTCGAGAGGAGCGTAGATGTTTATAGGGCTCGACAACTACTCCCCACTCCCCGCACCTCTACCGCCAAACCAACCACCAACTAGCCAGCCAGCCAGCCAACCAACCAGCCAGCCAACCAGCCAGCCAACCACCCAGCTTCGAATGCCTGACAAATGAAACACACTGCAGGCCCTGGTCCTGCTAAACCCAGAGATTCCTATACCGATGTGCGCTTTCCTTTTGGTGTTCTCTATGTTCCCTTGTGAGCAAACTCTTAATGGCTAGCTCCACTATTTTCATAAGAAAAATAAAGGTTTGGATCTTCCCTTTACCCATACGATGCTTCGAGTGTTCATGAAGCCATCTCCCAGACATGCTAAAGCATAAAAACCTATCAAAGTGCACTCAGAACGGATGTTGGTTTGCTGACCTCACGCGGCTTTCTGAGCAGATGGGGACGCGGAGGCTGTGCGCTGCCGTGCACAGCAAGCCTGCAGGGCCAGCTTGACCTCTTGACCTTTTCTCAGTCCAGACTGTGTGGAGTTCTGCGGGAAGGCCCGAAGACCCATCAACCTGGCAATGACTTCGTCACACAGGCGGTGACACACAGATCCCAGCTGCGGTTCGCATCACATCCCTGAAAGACGCATCGGGCTTACCGCAGGCTCCACGCGCCGGTCCTGGGCTGGGCTGTGGCAGGTGGAGCTGGAGCTGGAGCTGGGCTTCCTGGAGAAGGGCTCCGGATGGATCCCAGGAAGACCTCGAGGTGTTTCCCCACAGTGACGGCTGGACGTCCTGAGCTCAGCTCGGAGCTGAAGTCTGCTGGTGATTCTGTCCTCAGTTTCTTCGAGCTTCTGCCATCGGGGGGCCCTTCAAGCTCACAGCTCTGCCGTGGTTCTGTTTGGGGCCATTCTTCAAAACAAAACAAACCAACCAACAAGACAGACGATAAAAAAGATCCCCAGGGTGCTGCCCTTTCTGGCAACCACGTCGTCATGATATGTGCTGCTCCAAGAAGTCAAATGGAAAACCAGGAAAAGACGGTTCACACAAAAGCAGGTATTGTTCTTTGTACAAATGCTACGGAATAACATGTAGCTTTCTGTGTGTGTTGGGCAAAACCTCAGAAACGGCATTATTGAGAAAGCTGATCAAAAATCTGCCTCCTTTTTTGGGCTTTGTTGGTTCAGAGGTTAGAGGAGTCCACAGTTTTCAGACCTAGACACACAGCAAGAAAGGATGACTTTTCTTTTCACACACACACACACACACACACACAAAACGAGTTACAGGTGCCCTCGGCTCGACTCTTACTTAGCAAGGCCAGGGAGGGGTGGTGACCTGGTTTTATTTTTTGCTGTAATTCCACCAAGGCTCCTGGAAGTGCTTTTCCTGGGCTTCCGGCGTGTTTTGTTCAGAAGGGAGAGCATCGTCCGGAGCCTGCAGTGGGAGGTGAGGGTGGCCGAGCGCCAGCGGCCGGGCCGCAGAGTCGCGTCTCAGTCGGTGAAGCGCTGGCAGGCTTTCTTCCAGCGGCAGGCAGTGCACCACAGGTCGCGGTGCTCCATGCCGTACACCTTCCGGCACTTTCTGCCCTCTCCGCGAGGTTTCCTGCAAGACAGGTGAGGACAGTGTACTCAGCGGGAGAGGGTCGGGGGGGCCTTACGTGCAGGGCTCGGAATAAAATGTCAGGGCACATTGTGGGGTTTTCTCCAGGTCAGACTTCGGCATGTGCAGGACGCCGGCACGGCTCTCAAGGTCTGCTTCTATAATTCTATCTCTGTCCATCTGTGGACATGTCACTTGTCCATCTGTGTAACAGTGAATTACACCAATACGTCTGAGAAACACCAGTAGGGAGCATTACTCTTTCAAGGTTCTACGTATGCACTTGCTTCTCAGACTTCTAGCATCCTGGTGAAGGGAGCCCTTGATCTGGAGTAAAAACTCTACCTTGTAGTTCATTCAATACAGAGCTTAGTGCAACATGGCTTTAAATGGACCCACTGATCCCACTGCCTGTCCTGTAAGGAAACTCACTGGGAGCTGTCACAACCAAAAAACAGCAAATCTCCCTTAATAGTTAATGGATGGGGGAAAAAGGAAGGGTGCCTCGTCTATTACAGGGACATTCTATGGGAGGTTGTATCTCTGGTTTCTTTTTCTGGCCGTTCTCCTGTTTTTCAGTTAATTCCTTGGAAACGAGGGTGTGGAGTGTCAGGCCGTCCTACCTCAGGCTGACCGTCCCTCTGGGCGGGGACGACAGGACCGTGTGCGTGTGCTGTCTCTGCTCTCCTGTGCCCAGCGGATGATGATGTGTTGGGGACACCTGGTAAGTACATGGAAACAAAGGTGACCGGACAGGTTCTGTTCACCGTACATTTATTTTGCCTTTGTGACGTGGAACGGGCCCTTGACTGTCAGACATGGAGGCGAAATGCCTCCTTCATGGAGACCATATCTTACAGGGGTTGGGGTGATGCTCATGGCAGAATGTAAATGCACCCCCAAACAGAAGAGGCCCAGCAACAATGAATACTTTAAAATCTTCGTGACTTTGCACCTGTGCATTCCAGCTTGCCCAACATGTGAAACCTTAAAGTAGATTCCTATTGCAAGCCTCATGATCTCCTTTTAGAAAAAGCTAGAGAGGTTAAGAGAGTTATCTAAAGGTACACAGCTCGTCCGTGGCCCCGACACCATGTGGCCCTCGGCCCTTCGCTTGTTCTATTAGATCCTTTGCAGCCGCTAATAAACGGCTTCTTGCACAGGACGTCTGTGCAGCAGATGCTGGGGTCCCAGGGCAATACAGGCGAGAAACCTGAGCAAACCCAGAATGAATGTCCTCACCGAGCGCCACTGGGCGCCAGGTTCTCTGCTTTACTTTTCACAGCTACCCCACGAGATAAGCACTGTCATCGTTCCCATTTTGTAGAGGAGGAACCCAAGGCACAGGGAGCTTACGTAACTTGCCCAAGGTCCTGGGACGTAATAATGGCGGGGCCGGAGTGGCCCTGAGCTCTGCCCTCTTATGCCCCACCCCCAACCCCCAAACAACAGGAGGCCCCTTTTTTCTCCATTCCTCCTGAGTGTCTGTCTCTCTGCTTCACCTGCTCTCATAACACTAAGCTCCTCAGATTCGCAAAAGCTGCGCGAAACTAATTTTCATACCCAAAGATAAATGATGTTTGAAGTAAATTTATATTGTTGTTACAGAAGGGCAGATCACACAGTTAAAAACGTGACCATTTAGAAGCCAACACGGCCACAGGAATACCATCACGTTTACCGTCACAGGCAGCCTAACAGGACTGATCTTCTCCAGTGCAGGGGCTGGTGTGTTCTATTCACTTTCAACGTAAAAGAATGTACATCCGGGTTATTTTCCCAGACATGAATTAAAATATTTAAACAGGTAAACAAAACAAAAACAAAAAACCCCCCTAACATTGAAACCGTTATCGCCATGAGTCTGAACTATTCTGTACCATGGGTCTTCATTTTTGTTAGAGCTGGGTGGCGTGAGGGCCAGCAGAGCTGCGTGACAGCCATGTTTTAGAAACGAAAGCTCTGGAGCTCAGTGGGTCAATACGGAGATTCTTCCAGGAGCGGAAACCCCTGACCAGGATTCATAATAGCAAACGAGAGGGAGCGAACCAGCCACAGGATACAGAATGACCTAGAATGATCTAGAATGTGCTCATATGAATTGTTTTAAGTGATCAAGACAAAAACTTTTTTTTTTTTAATTACTGTAGAACTTGTATTTCAAGAATGCTTCCTTATTTAGTCAGAGGGTTGGAAACATTTAAATGACAGGACAGTGACACTATTTCCATCAGCCGTGGAAGGTTCCCAATTTTGCAAAATCGCCATCCCCCTTTTGTGTGGGGTGATATGAGATGATAGGATGCTCTTCATTCGACAAGTACTGATTAAGCACGTGCTATGCACCGGGCACTGTTCTGGATTGTAGAGATATAGCCCTGAACAAAACAAAGTGTCTGCCCTCATACAGCAGACATTCTAGTGTGGAGACAGACAATAACGCCGAACAGATAAGGTCATTCTAGTGACAGGTGCCTGCAGACAATAAAATAGGGTAATAGGCAGAGCTCGATCTAGGACAGGACGCTTGTTTATTCAGGGGGCAGGGAGAAGGCCCCTTGAGGAGGATACCTTTTATCTCCTGGGCACCTGGCAGAACGGGACAGCAACGAGAAAGGCCTCCAGGTGCAGAGTGGCTCCGGGGCCCGAAGATGCTGTGTGGGGGGCCAAGGAGGGGAGCGCAGGAGGTGGTGGATTCAAGCCCTGTCTTGCAGATCTGATGAGTTTGAATGTTATTCTAAGTGCAAGGCACGCCTTTGGAAGGCTTTAAGAAAGTGAGACGTCTGGTTAATGCTTTGAAACAATCGCTTTGGCTCCTTGGAGAATGGATTGGAGACAGCTGGAGAGGGGCCCCCGAAGACTGGTTAAGAGGCTTTTGCAATATTTCGGGGAATAATGTACTGGTGACTTAGATGAGGGTGTGGCCATGGCAGTGACAAGGAGCTGGACTCATGTGCTTTAGAGGCAGAGTCTGGGACTTGCTGACAGATGGGACATGGGACAAAAACAAGACAAATCTTTAGATGAATCGGGGATGAATCAAGTGAGATCAAGGCTGAGTGTTGGGTCCTGGCCTGAACGGCTGGGGGACACCAGTGCCACTTACTGACATGTAAGAAGCTGGTGTTTGAAAATTCCATTATTTTGTCTATCTCCCCCAGCGGTCTCCACATTTCAGCTTCTTTTGTTTTATACCTTAACCATGTCTAAGTTCTATTCTGGGGCATGTTTTTATAAAGTATGTAATATACTTAGAGAGTACTACATGGTGTTATTTCTCAATAAGTAAGATTATTGGGCTATCTGCTTGTAATGTGTCTACTAATTCGGTGTGACCTTGGAAGCATTTAAAAGAACTCTAAATGACGGTCCGCAAAAAAAAATCGTGGCTAATTTCTCCTGCATGTTGTGGGTATTTGTGTCACAAGCAGGGAGAGTCGCTTTCTCTGACCCCCGTTGTGTGGTAATGAGACACGTCACAGGTACAGTTAACAGCAAGGACTCCACAGCGTCAGCCAGTGCGAGGCTCTGCCCAAACGACGCCACTCTCCCAGGGAATGCGACGAGGGCTCTGCTACGAGAGGCCATGTGACTGGCCGAGCAGGGACCTGCCTCTGAGCTCGCACCACAGCAGTAATACGGATGCTGTGCCCTTGTGTAAACAAGTTGGAGAAATTTCTTTGTGAGGTTTCTCTCAAATGGACTAAAACAAAGAGACCCTTGTCTTAGTTTTAACCTCTTATAAGATACTATTCTGAACCCTCCCTCAAGGGGTTACAAAAACCAACCCAGCTAACCCACTCACAGCGAAGCAGGACTGTGTCCGGTGGGGAGACCCTCGGGGGAAGGGGAGCCCTGGGATGGCAGGCTGATTAGCTCCTGTTGCTTTCGTGGGGCCTGTTACGGGCCAAGTGTTTGTGTGGCCCCCACGTTCATATGTTGAAGCCCAAATTCCCAGTTGTGGTTGTATTTGGAGATGGGGTATTTACAGAAAGTAAGTAAGGATAAATGAGGCCAAAAGGGTGGGACCCTGACTCCCTAGGATTAGTATCCTTATAAGAGTAGACACCAAAGGGCTCCCTCTGCAGCCCCCCGCCACACACACACACCGCACCCCTCCAAGAGAAGAGGCCATGTGAGGACACAGCGAGAGGTGGCCCTGGACAGTTAGGACAAGGCCCTCACCAGGCACTGGATGGCCAGCACCTTGATCTGGGACTTGGAGCTTCCAGAGCTGAGAACATACATGCAGCTGTTTAAGTCCCCAGTCTGTGGTAGTCTGTTAATGCAGTCAGAGCAGACTACCTTAGGGGCTGAGGGCTCTCTGTTTCCGGTCAGGAAAAGACAGCGCAGAAAGGAATAGAGATAATTAGAAGAAAAGGCGGGTCATTCGGGAAAAACAGGTCAAAGAAAGCTGTAATTAATGAAGTCCCCGAGTCCACAGCCTTGGGCTAGAAAAGAAAGCGCCCCCAGTGACATTTGTAAATATGCAGATTGGCCTGCCAGCTCCCCACCTCCGGGAAACGGCCTTACCCAGGGAACTTATTATAGCCCCATGTTCAGGAAGTCTAGCGTTGGCAAATGCGTAAATAAAATCCTGCAGACCTTGGGTTTTCTCAGAAGGAGATTACTCCACTCTCCGGGAGGCATACAGAAGTTGCCCTCTTCCAGAAGGCCTCAAAGATTCTCAAAGAGGAAAGCAAGCCTTAAATGGAGTCGACAGGCTCAGGATGTTTGTTTTGGAGTACACATGTGTTCTTAAATAGCGTTTTCTGAAACGGCAACGGCTCTCTCCTTCCGTGTGGATTCATACAGCTGAGGCCATCACGAACACTAGCTCGCTATAATTTACAACGCTGAGAGCCTCTGTCTGAAAGCCCGGTCATGCTAATTTAGAAGGTAGGGGTTCACACGTTCTTGTAGTCACCCTGGTTCCAGTCTTCTACGGGTGGGACTAGCGCTCCTGCCGAACTCAGGGACAGCTGCTGGTGGCCGCAGGGGACGTGTGCCTTTCTGTGCCTCGGTGCTGTGCCCTTGTGAGATCCAGCCCCCACTGAAGGAGGTGGATAGCAAACACCCACTTTTTTTTTTTTAAAGCATTGATAAGACAGCATAGCAAATGAACATTTTTAGTAGTAAGCCTTCTTGTCGTCTTTCTAGACTGAAACAAAAAAAGACTTGCAAAATAGCGCTCCCTGCCCTTTCCTTGTTTTCAAACAAGGAAATGCCCAGCTTGACTGCTAATAGTTCACAGAGTCAGCTGATCCGGACCACACACCAGGTAGACTGGGAATTCGCCGGTGAGAGAACAAACGAGACGCTCACGTAGGATTTTAGTGGGATACCAATTAACCCAGCTGCTCTGAATACTTCCTGTCAGAGCTCTAGCCCAGAGCATCCCGGAGCCAAAAGACAGGGAAACTGGGGACTCCGAAAACTCCAGGGCACTGAAGTGAGGGCACAGAGACACAGTGTCCACAGCAGAGTTTTAAAATTTCACTGTCGGAAGACGAACAGTAGAAGGTACCTGGCTGGTATCCCGCCGTGTACGACATTTAGAACCTCTGGAGAACGGGCAGCTGGTAACAAGCCACTGAGAGTGATTTCTCCACACTTCAGAAGGAAATGACTTAATTAATGAAACAGAGGGGGTAGAAGAAGGGGATAAAACTTCTTTCCATTTGGTCAGAAGTCTGAAGTGGGCTGTTCGGTCTACACACTATACTTGTCTCTACTCCCGGTGAGCAGTATAGCGCAGGCTCTCGAAAATTCTCCTCAAATCAAAGATCCGAACAAACAGAGCTCAGGATGGCAGGTCTCCATAATTCTGTAATTGTAGCTGCCTTTCTAGGTTAGAAAGGTTGTCTCAAATGTCATATTGAGAGACACTCTGAGTCTTTTTATGTCTAACAACAGAAGGAAATCCCCGAAGGACTGCTGGTTAACCTCTGACACCCACCTCAACAGATGACTGTTTTTGCAGAAAACCAAAGGAACACCTAAGGTCTAAGTCATCCTGTCCCCACCACCACCACCACCACCACCACCACCACCATCAGCTTCCCAGGCCCCTCCCTGCATCCTTGCTTTTTCAGAGAAACCAGCGGTTACCACTATCACAAAGCAGGCAACTTTCATAATTACTCCACATCGGAGATATTGTTTAAAAATTGAATTCGGGAGTCTTTTCTGGAAGCCACAAATTCCCCAATCGCTGCCAGCAGGATGCGTTTTATTGTTGGCTACTCCTCTAGGGAATGGAATAAATATTCATTGACGGAGGACAGCCTGGCTCATTGATTGAGCCACTTTCCTTATTATCAGCTCTGCAGGCAGCCTTACGGTTTGCTGGAAACCTCTGGGAGTTGGGTTGATAATAAGAAGCTTTGGTGAGGCCCGTGGGGAGAGGAGAAAATAACCTTAATATCCATTATCAACAGCCACTTTCTGAGCCTTATCAGGAGTTATAAACCACCGTGAGCATCAACAGTGTGTGGGTCTATGGGGGTTCTGCGATAAGATATGAAAGACCCACTGTATTTTTAAATGAGTGGTTAGAAATCAGGTTAATTCACGGTGCTTTATCAGACAGGACTCGTTTAATATGCCAAATCGACTCCTGTGTACTCCTTACATCTGATTGTATATTTTAGCACTCATTTATTTCCAAATTTCCCATCAGTATGAATTATTCAGGCTTTGGGGAAAACAAAACAAAACATGATTGCGATTTATTCCTTTTTGAGCCTTTAAAAATGACATCCCTACAAACAATCACTTCAAAGCCATACATTTTATGATGTTGCTCAGAATGATAAACACCACTTGTGCACAAGCTCTTTTTATGTTCAGGGTCTGAGTTCAGCGGTTAATTTTATAAAGCCTTTTGGAAACATACAAATATTCCACCAACACAAAAAGGCCTCGATCTATAATAGTTGCAAGACGCTGTTGGTCAACAGCCGAAACTCTTCCAGTTTTCTAAAATCCCAGTCAAAACGCCTTTTCACGGAGCAGCTGGTGGGCCTGTGCGAACCCCGAGATACCTGCCCCGTTTACAAACACCACGTAAGAAATAGGGTATTTCTGATGTTCTGATGTTTGCCTCTTTCTTGCGCACTTCTCTACATTTACATGTGGCTGTGACCAGATCGCTAGCTTTTTGCTGTTCTACTTACCGGAATACCTGTGAAGGTAACTGGAGGAGACTGCCAAGAAATGCTGAAGCTGCTGCCATTGGGGGTGAACTTGGCCGATCCTGGAATGGTCACGGGGGGCGTGGCCTGTTACACAGAAAACAGGAAGTCGTTATGAGGGAACAGTTTTCCTCAGAGCGGGAAGCTGTCATTACCACGGTAGCACCTCAGAAACTATCTCAGCTGTATCGATAACTCAGACTCATTATCTAACAGGAGGAGATTAAACATGGTCAAAGAGAGTAGCTAGAAATAAACTTTTTATATATATCAGCAATCTATTGAAAGTAGAAAAGATGGTTTTGGCTATTGGCTTCTGCTGTATTTTAGAACACCTGTGAGATATAATTCTTCAGTATCAAATTGGGAAACACAGACTTTTACACAGTGATGGTGGGTGTGTAAATTGGTACATTTGGGGAGGGTAATTTGGCAATATATATAAAAATTCTTGGGCCGGTCAAGTGGCGCGATGGTTAAGAACTGTCTTGGGACGTCAGAGGGCCCTGGTTCGGATCCCACATAGGAGGGCCAGTGACACTGCCCTCCACAGCTAAGATGCTGAACAACAGCTCAACCTGGAGCTGGGCTGCCATGAGTCACTGGCGACGGCGTGGGCTGCAGCCCCTGTGGCAGTGGGTTGCCATGGGCTACCGTGTGTGGCCAGCAGCCAGTGTGAGCGGCCAGCAGCCGCAGTGAGTGGCCATCCAGAAGCCAGCGACTGATCTGCCTCACCTGGGAAGAGCACAATGATGGTGCCAACTTGGGCTAGTGAAGCAACGTCCTCCACAACTAGACTGAAGAACAAAACAAAAGGACAGCGACTTGTCTGTTCCCCTTCCCCCAATTCCCCAGCTCTGTTCCCATCCCCCCAATTCCCCAATTAAAAAAAAAATTCTTAGCATTCTGTATATTAGCTATTCCACTTCTAGGATTCATTCTGAGGAAATAGATACAAGGATGTTCATTGCAGAACTGTGTGTTATATACAAAAATTGGAAACACAAATGTCCAGCAATAGGAAAATGGGTAAATAAATTATGATATATCCACAGAGCCACTGCAAATGATGCTGAGTACTCACTGGCATGGGAAAATGCTTATGATACATTCAGTGGGAAAAATAAAGCATACTAAAAACAGCACTACAATAGATTCCTTTTTTTTATAATAAATGAGCAAACAGACCCACATAGAACAAAGTCTTGAAGGACGTACAAAACATATTGACCAAGGGACTTTCTTGTCATTGGGATTAGGGATGAACTTGATTTGCTTACTTATATTTTTAATATTGTCTATGCTGAGCATTTATAATATCTATAAACGGAGAAATCCCAACATTGGGACTATATGGACCTTTTAGATCAGCAAGTGTGTGTTCCAACTCTCATTTCAAGAGATGAGCAAAATGAATTAAGTTGGTTCAAGCCCAGGATTTCAGACTGAAATGAAACACTGACAAATAAGAAAAGAGGAATGAATTATTCTTTTTTGACCAACATCACAAGAGTCAGGGTGAAACTTAATAATCAGCTCTATTCCATCGCTCCTGACTTTGTTTATGAAATAAGCAACTGCATTTTTCTCCTACAGGTTTAGTTTTTCTAATTCTAAATACGGCTGCTAGTGGTTTAGTGGTTTTGTCACTGGCACCACGGGAAAATATTTTGGCAATTATATTTAGCAAGAACCATAAGCGGTTCATGTCATATCCACAGACTCAGTAATTATTCTTCTGTGAATTCGAAGGGAAAAAAAAGCTACCCGCACAGAGATGTTCATAGTAGAGTTATTAATGATAGTGAAAAAATTGGATAGACTGAAAAGCAAATACCTAACAATGAGAGAATGATGAAACAATTCGAGTTAACTGAGTGCTCTTCACTTATGTAGAAAATGTTCCTAAAACAAGGGAGGGAGAACGGAAGTACAAATATGTCAAGGAGATTATTTTTAAAGTTGGATACAGTAGTTGAGAATTACGGGTAAAATGTTTTCTTAAAATGTGAATGCACTGACACTTTATGAATACAAATACAAATCAACGTTTGAAAGGGTTAATAACCGCTGGGATCAAGGAGCTCTGGCTGTGTCCTGTGTTTGCAGGATTTGTCTGTAAGGTCTTATCAGACTTCAGAGTAAAGCAGCCGGTTGGAGCGCCTGTCACAGCACAGACTGGGCCCCCACCAGCTTCTGGGCCAGTGGGTCTGGGCAACCCCAAGAATTTACATGACGCTGACACTGCTGACTTGGGGAACAGCGACACCCACTGCTGTAATCGGAGAGGGTTGGTTCCAGACTCAGAGGCAGGTCAGGAAGCCCCAGCCTGGGGGTGCAGGGCGGTTCCATCGCTGTACCAAGCTTTCCAGAGCTTGCCTTTTGTTTTTCATTTGACAGACACAGCATGTGTCAGGCACCCTTCTGAAGCCTTTACAACATTAAGGGTTGTATTCCTTGTGACAGCCGCTAAGGGGTGTCCATCAGTCCTGGGGAGCCCAAGAACCTAGAGCAGCCGTTCTCAACCTTCCTAATGCCGCGACCCCTTAATACATTTCCTCATGTTGTGGTGACACCCAACCATCAAGTTATTTTCGTTGCTACTCTATAACTGCAATTTTGCTACTGTTATGAATTGTAATGTAAATATCTTTTTGTTTTCTGATGGTCTTAGGCGACCCCTGTGAAAGGGTCGTTCGACCCCCAAAGGGGTCGCGACCCACAGGTTGAGAACCGCTGACCTAGAGGGTCCCCTCTGTGAGATCTGGGCTTTAAGAGGAGAGAAAAAGAGAACGCGCTCCGCTACTGGAATACCATGTGTGACGCTGTTTTTCTACTAAGTTACACTCCACTCACAGGTCAGAACACGGCTGCTTTGGGTCAAGGTCAAAATGACCACTCAGGGTCCCCCGCTCCTCACCTGGTAAGCATGGTCGGTGTGCACGAGGTAGAGGGTGGTGGGGGCCGAGCGGCTCAGGGGCGTCATCAGCTTAGCCTCGGTTTTGGCACAAGGGGTGTCCGTCCGGCTTGAATCCGGGATGGGGAAGGTGGGGGGTGAGGCCAGGGACTGCGAGGGTGAGCCCGGGGCCAGGCCGCTCAGTCCGTCCGCCACCGCATCTGTGTTGAGCTTCATCTCCGTGTAGTAGAAGTCCTCCTCGCCGTCGCTGCAGTCGGAGTCCCCAACACGCCTGAGGCCGAGGAGACGGAGCAGTCGGACGACACCCCCTCGCACATGCTGTTCCCTGTCCGGAATGTCCTTCCTGTTTCTCGTCTGCCCCGAAAACTCTTACCTACCGTGCAGGACTCACTCGCCTACCTGTCCACTCCAGGGAAGCTGCCCCTGGCTTCTCAAAGCAATCACTGTATTCAACTAGCCAACCAACCGATCACTCAGTCCACCATTCACTGAGCATCTTCTATGTCCAGTCCTTTTCTGGTATCACGGTGACCAAGTCGTAGAGAGACTGCCTCGATGGAACTTACAGCCCAGCAGACGAGGCAGACAAGGTACCCGTAAAGAAACAGGTACTCACTATTCAGGCAGTGAGTGGTAAGTCCCAGAAAGAAAAACTAAGCAGCGTAAGAGTGTCCTTAACAGCATAAGTGAAGGGGGTGGGTGGGTATTTGACACCTCTGAGGAGGTGATCTGAGCTGAGGCCTGAATGAGGGGAGGGGCACCCCTGCTGGACCCACACAAGGCCCTGGGCAGGTGGCCGGGTGTCTTCTGAGAAGAGCAGTGGGGAGCTGGGGCTCAGGGCACCAGGGGACAGCAGTGGGAGAGGGTGGGGACCGAGGCAGAGGCAAGGTCTCAGAGGGCCCTGCAGCCCACGGGAGGCTCTGCATTTTATTCTGAAGGTGACAAATCCCACTGGGGCTTTGAGGGATCTCAGCAGCTTTTAAAAAGGGCCCCTCTGGCTGTGGTCTGGAGAAGAGAGGACAGGAGGGAACAGCAAGGGTGGTGACCAGCGAGAGGCTGGCCATCGAGGACCCAGGTGGGCGCTGAAGGCTGGGGCGGGGGAGGAGGAAGTGAAGTCAAAAGTCAGATGTGTTTCAAAGGTTAGGAGTCAGGACTTCACTCCCACCTGTCAGATCCACCCTGCTCCCTCCCTCCAAAGGGTGTTCATTTTATTTAACTCACTGTTGATTAATTACTTGGTAGATTTGTATAATTTTTTAAACCCCTATCGCTTCCTTAAGACATTCTCTAGAACCCCAGTTCTTCACGGAAACACTGGGGATAACGTAGTGCCTGCTCGTTGTGAGGATCAAGCGAGTAAACAGACAGTGCTCAGAAGTGTTCCCGACACACAGTAAACACTAGGTGCCTAGTAAATAAAAACCAGGTCCCTGGTGAGAATCCTCCGTGTTTACTGTCACCAGGAAAGGTGTCCTCTGGTGCTTTCAAACTTCTTCCCGCTGCATCCTACTCCCTGCAACTGTACTTTTTCACAGAAAGGTTTCAGTAAATTAAAGGAACTGTCCGTAACCTTAGAAAACACCTATTGCACTTGTTCTTTCTAAAGAGGGGGTGCATGTCTAGTAACCTGCTTTTCTGGGGTGGCTGAGCAGAGGTCCCCGTGCATCTCCCCCCCCGTGGGCGCCCCACAATTCGTGGGCGCGGCCAGCGGCCACCACTAGCAAGCTTCTTTCCCACTTACACCCCCACATAGGACCTAAAATAAAAGTCCCCCCTTTCCTCGGCCTTTCTGATCGGCCAAATCCGTGGCTTCTTCCAGCCTCGTTCCGTGTGCCCTGAGCTCTCAGGCTGAGTGTGTGGGGAGGGGTCTGCTGTCTCAGGTCTGGCCGGCTTGGCTTTCTGACAGCTTTCCGTGAAAGACCCCAGAGAGCGGGACGAAGAATGTGTGTCTGTTCTATTCCTGTCCCCATTTCCTTTCCTGTAAAGGGCTGGCCGAGTCCTGCTAACAGACACACAGGCCTCAGGGAGACGGTGCTTCCCCCCATGGAGTCAGCCCCTAGTGCATAAGGGTGCAGTGAGATTCCAGGGAAAAACGGTACTTTCTATGCCGGCAGGGTGTGCACTGCACGGCATCAGAGGAAAGCGTATTGTCTTTGGGCTTTGGCGTGCTGCCTTCCCAGGCCTCACACACAACCGACACCCATTAGAAATGTTCCCTGGCCCTGTAGTCATGTAATCGAGCCCCTGGATGAAGCAAAGGCGACTTCTCTCTCCCAGCCCCGTCACAGGTCCCCACCGATTCCCTCCCCAAGGCCTTTTTAAGAGCATTGAGTGAAAAGGAAGTGAAAAGAGAATGGGGAAGCAAATGAGGTCGCCCACCACGAGTTCAAAGGAAGCCCGTACGACGCCACTTACAGTCTATAAAGACATGGACATGGCACGTGCATCTGCATGGTGCTGGCCAGGGGTCAGTTTTCTGGGCAGATGGACTTTAAGGCAAATACCCTACCGCCTGATTCTAGCTTTCGGAAGTTCTTTCTAGACTTTTAAATAACTCAGAGCTATGAGGTTGTTGGAAAAGTCACGACGTATTTTTCTATGTTTTTCGTTGCAAAAATGCGTCGTGACTTTTCCGACAACCCAATATTTACATTGTGCATCGTCCTGATGATGGGGTTGGAGGGGAGACAGGGCAGGACCCCTTCCCCAAGGCCTTAAGCAACGGGGCATCTGCCCGCAGTGCTTCTTGGAGGATGAAGGTGGAACCCTTGGCGAGGGGAGCAGACGCCCAGCCAGCTGGGCTGCACCCACAGTGCTCTGGGAGGGTCTGCTGTGTCTGCGGGTTAGGGACAGAGATGTCTCCAGTCACTGAAGGCCCGCCAGCACAGGTCAGCAAAATCACCTTAGAACCCATTTTTCTTTTCTTTTCTTTCCTATTTTTTATAGCTGAGCCATCCTGCCACCTGTTGGCAGCTCAGCGGCAGCTCAGCTCGGGCCGGGAATCAAACCAGCGACCCTGTTGCTCCGAGCTTGCACTCTTGAGCGAGTTTATTTTCTTTTTATACCGCTTTTTATGGATGATGCATTTCCTAAATTCACCCCTTGCTGGGCAAAGTGGCTGTGGTGCTTATGTCTCAGCACTCCTCTTGCTGAAAGGACTCCTCTGTGTCTAAACCGAGGGGGCCTGGTCACGCCTTTGTGTTTGCCTCATGCGCACTGCTCATGACTTACAGCTTCTCAGGTCCCTTCTAAGTCCCAGATCCCTGGACAAGAAAGACCCAGAGACTAAAGGGCATCACTGTCCCCCTGGTATGTGGCTTCCGCAGCTTCATTTGATCTTTCCTTAGAAGGGTTTTTACATAACACAAGAAACGCCCGGTCAGCTGGGCGTCATAACGATAGCAGCAGCATTCATTTTTGATTGACACAGTGGTTCTTAACCCTTTTTAGGCTCTATCTGCCTTCCAAGCTCAAGGTCATGAATACTGTCCATTGGGGGAAACTGCCCATGTCATTTTACAGGAAATTTCAGGGGGTTCCTACCCTAGCATTTGTATTTTATAGATCACTTTCACATGCCGTTTATTTTTAACCCTCACACATGACCCTGCAGGGTTGATTTTTTATATTAACTTCATCTTCAGCGGGACCTGAGGCTCAGAGCAGTGACTCACCTGACATCACTTAGTCAAGCATGACTTTAAACCCCTGTCCTTTCCACTGTGCCACACTGTCCTGCGTTATCCGTTATCCGCAGTGGCTGCCTCCACAGCGCTTAGAAAGAGCCAGCCAGCGCGGTGTCTCCCTGTTGAGGACGTCTAAGGCGCGGTGTGCTGGGTGCAGTGTGCAGGCCCCATTGGGTTCTGGGGGAGCCCACACTGCTCCGGGGGAGCCCCCACCAGGTCATGAAGGAGGGCACCTTACCCAAGGTGAGCCGTCCGGATGTGTTTCTGGATGCCTGCCGCTGTACTCAGCACCTTCCCACAGTTTTTCCAGAGGCATTTAAACATCACTTTCATGGAGTTCTAGAAATGGGAGGAAAAGGGCCATAAAATGAAACCAACTTGTCAATATCTTCTTTCCGTAGTCCCTCTTCCCCCGTTATTTTTATTCAAAGCACATAATGACTTCACAGGGTCAGTGACCAGATCCTCACTAGGAGTGCTTTCTGCTCACTTTTCAAACGATGAAGCTCTATGATTAAGAAATACCTTCCATCTATTCAGTGCCGAGGTTGGCCTTTTCGTTTCTATGGGCCCCTTGCCCACTGGTTTCAGGCTGGGTCTGGCCGCTGGGAGGCAGGAGGCCATGGGTTCCTCTGCCTGGCCACAGGTGGGCAGTGGCTGCATTTCTCTTCCCCAAACTACCAGCTCTGCTGGTATTCCCAGAGTTGGGGTAATCCTCTGGGTTCTGGGAACGCCGCCCCTTACTTGTGTCTTCAGGCTTAGGGGTGGTGAGGGCCTTTCCCTGCTGTTAGCCCCTGGACACCACCACCCCTTCCGCTCCCCCAACCCTGCCTACACATTTGTGAAGAGCCTCTTCATTCAACTCTCCCCAGTCACTCCACCTGAGGACACCACCTGCTTCCTGCCAGGACCTGACTGATATAGGGGAAAAGTGGGTTATAAAAGAATATAAACAACACGATGGTTTTTTTTTTTTTAGGGGAGTATGTAATGCAAATAAAAATGTCTTATTGCACGAAGGAAATACTGGGATGGGGTATCTCTTATTTTTACATTGATTTCCAAATATAAAAATTACCCTACTTTTAATTTTAAAAAGTTATTTCTTTATTGGGGAGAGGGGTGGTAGATGAGGGTAAAGGGGGTCAAATATATGGTGATGGAAGGAGAACTGACTCTGGGCGGTGAACCCACAGTGTGATATATAGATGATGGATTACAGAATTGTATGCTCGAAACCTACACAATATTACTAACCATTGTCACCCCAATAAATTTAATAAAAAAAGTGGAAGTCGCCCTATAATACCTGCATGACTCCTTTGGAGAATAGAAGTAACCTAAGCAGGATTATCTCTACTTTAATGAAATCCAGTTCTTCTCCCTGCACAGGTGATGCTTCTGTGGCAAACCATGAGGCCCCTTAAATGGGGGTGAAGTACTTTTCAAAGTCCCCTAACTGTGTCCAACGGGAACATCCTTTTTTCTACAGACTACTCGCTGTTACACTAAAGGAAAGCAAAGCCACAGGAGGAGGAGGACAGGAAGGAACAGCTAAACGCACAACGACCAGGTTGCCCCGTGGGCCCAAGCTGGCCCCAGGAAGCCCAACCAAGCACAGCTGCCGGCACAGCGACAGCCGCCAAGCCTGGGTGTGACCGTCTGGGACTCAGCCCTGGCTTCGCCCCGCCGCACTGCCGGAGGGTCGCAAGCTGAAGGTGGGGGTGGGGGAGTGTGTCACTTGGAACCACGGCATGCTGGGGTCTTCCACACATCTGCCATATTTAACACTCCACCCTGCTGAAGCCCCGGCAGTTAGGGGCAGACTCATGCCCAACGTGAGGCTTGCAGCAGCTTTGGCACGCTCTGTAGAATCGCCAGCTTTGGTGCTGTGGGCTGGGATGGTTGGAGACAGCTGCCGGGATGTTCTTCACCTTAGCTCCAGCTTCTGGCTTTGACACCAGCGGCTTTGGGGCTGTCGGCTGAGGTCTTCGGCCAAGGCATCCCTCAGGGGCCCCCTGCTTGCCTTTCCCGTGGCAGGCCTCCGTGCTGGTCTCAACTGTCTCCCACTCGGGATTCAGGAAGTGGCTTCTATTTTCCTGACAGAACCCAGACTGACACACAGGACTGACAAGGTGGCTGCTGAAGTCCGCTTTCAGTTCCAACAGGGACACCTGGCTGGATTTTGAAGTTTATATACTTGCCTAGGGTATAAATAAATAAAGCGTATGCCAGAAGGTCCATGAACCCACCTGATGGTTCGGTTTGCCACACAGCAGCCTGGGGTTAATACCAAGTGGCCTTTCCTGAGAAGATCCTCAGGTATGCTTTATATGGTGATTGGCGTATGGGAACGTGTACATGTGGGTTGGGGCAGTGGGTGGGGCGGACGCTCACATGTCCAAGCTCCCCAGAGGAGACTGGAGGGAAGGGGACTGTCCACTTATTCTGTGCAGGCAAGTCGGCTGCATTACACAAGCTTCCTTAGCCCGCCTCGTGTGGGAGGAACCCACACTGTTTGACAGGGGCGCCAATGACCCTTTCAGGATCAAGTGGTCCACTCAGACCCTCAGCAGGTTTCAAAAGACAGGTGTATTTAAACACTCAGTAACTGCCTAGAAGCGGGCGGGGGTTCCAGCTCTTTCCTGTACTGGGAAAGCGGCCTTATCCATGCCATATCACCACTTTGGGGCGTTATGTCTTTATTTGTGAAACAAAAAGACTGAACAAGATGCGAGTTTGGGGTGTGTGATACATGTGAGGTTAATGCAAAGTGATGGGTGAATTCCGGTGTATACCAAGCAAGGATTAAATATCTCCCATTGCTGTGCAGTGTTTACAGATGCTGTGGTGATAAACAAAATAAGGCTTTTGTAAGTGGACTAATACAGACTGTATTCCTGTGCATCTGGCTCCTTTACCTCAGCCTGTGGCTTTCAGCTTCACCCACTGCTGGGTGCCAGTGGCTCATTTCCTTACCGTGCTGTTGTCGTCCATCAAAGGAATGCCCGTTTATCCACTTATCCCTTTGCGGACATCTGGGCTGTGTCCACTTTGGGGCAACAGTGAATGAAACCGCTTTGAGCATTTGTTTACAAGTCTTTGTGTGCACACACGTCTTCTTATCTCTCAGGGAAACATCTAGGAGTGGCCACGCTGGGTCACACGGTGAGTGTGGATTTAACTTTATAAGCAACCGCCAAACTGTCTTCCGAGGAGGCTGCCCCATTTCACATTCCCACCAGCGATGCGCGAGGACAGTTCGTGGCCTGTGAACTTGACGTCGTCTGGCAGGCGAAACCGATTTATGGTGAGGGACGTCAGTGGTTGTATGTTTGTGGGGTGCGGGGATGTCTGACTGCAGATGACACAGGCGTGCTGGTCTGGATGAGAGCACTGGTGATCCAGGTCACAAACCAGCCCAAAGTCACTGAACTGTATACCTCACAGGGGTTCATTTTATTCTGTGGAAATTACACCTAAGTGAAGTTGATTTTAAATGACCCCTATAACAACAACAAAAGCATCCCCAAATGAATAAAAATGCCTCGTCGTTATGTGTTTTCTCCATCAGTGGATTCTAAAAGTGCCTCTCATTTCTGGGGACACGGTCTGTTTCTGGATGTGACCAGGCTGTCCTGATGAGGAAACCTTGAGCCTGGGAGGGCGATTTCTGAAGTCCGTCCAGCTCCGGTGCCCCGGTCCCAAGTATGTCCTGGCCAGCAGGTAATCCTAAGGTGCGCTCACTGAATGCCTACATCTCACCCTTGTTACTCTGGTCCTCCCTGAGGCCAACCCGCCCCCCTGCTGTGGCTGGCAAAGCGCTGGCATCGCTGTGACACCCGAGCTGCCTTTCTTAGCTCCGCCCTCCCCGCAGCCCTAACAGATAGGCTTCTTTCTGGAGCAGTCATCCAGGCAGAAGGACTCTGCTCGGAATTAGTGAGTGAGGCGTGAGGCCAGCGCAGAGACTTGTGCGTGAGGGCTTCCCGGGCTTGCCGCCTTTTCCGAGCCATCATTCAGTTTGGGTGAGTCACTGCTTTCTGGTTCTGAGAGACTGAAATGCATGGAGCAAGTGCTAGGTCCGTTGTTTGCCACTGACCAAGCGTCATGGAGGCGACTGCGGTTAACTTGCTCACCTGAGGCTCTCCCTAGAGACCACAGGTAAAGTGGTTCGCGGTTCACACACCTGTCAGATAAGTGACAGTGATGCTGGCTGGGACTCTGATTGCCTTTGAGTCGCTGTTGATGCTCTGAAATGTAGTCCAGAGCTGGGTTTCCTCATATGGCCCCCCGATTTTTGCCACTGTCATTGCTGTCCTCACCCCTCGCCAGATCGTGGGCTGGCCTCTCCCATTAACCTGAAATACGCCCAAGGTGGCTGAGGGGCGAGGATGGAGGCAAGCACCCCCTACTCTCCACACCCACATTTCCATGCAGTTGTCACATGGGTAAAAAGGCAAGCAAAATATAATCAGCCAGCATGCACTGCTCATAGAATCCTCACAACAACCCCACCCACGTGACGCTATCATGACCCGCATTTTACAGACGAGGAAACTGAGGCAGAGGGGTCAAGTGACTTGGTTAAGGCCACGTAAGTGTTGAGGTTACGGTGCGAATTCCAGAGCCCAGGCTGTTTTATCCTGTTCAGGAATGGGCAAATCCAGAATGTGGCATGGAAAAACAGCACATTAATCATCAGTTATCAGCACGTCTTGATTGTTTTAGAGGACTTCTAGGATTGATGGTTAAACTCTTGGCCTTCCATAGTTTGGTTTTCTCCCAGACCCCCTGCGTGGCTGTCTCGGGGTCACTGCTGCCACCTTGCGGTCACGACGGGAACTGCACCTCCAGAAGTCCCGGCGAGCTGCTCACACTTCCCAGGCTTTTCTCTGAGCAGGGAAGGCCGTCTGAAATCCCAGAGGAAAACTTCTGCTAGAACTGGGCTTGACGCAGTGGGCTGGCTGATCTCCAGAGTCGAGGAAAAGCCTCTCCTTTCCCCTTCTCGCGCTCCCACCCACCTTGGTTGAAGGTCCTCTTTAGAGCAATGGGTGCTTGGGGCAGGAAGTCGGCCCCTGCAGACAGCCTGCAGCCCCTCTGCTCCCCGTTACCACCCTGCTGGCTGTCGCTGGCTGATTATTTTCTCTCCTCTGGGGGCAGGTGGAAATGGGGATTCTTTGTATTAATTTGCCTCAAGGCTTTCCTCTTTGCAATGTCAGTTAAGCTGATCGCATCTCTGCCACGTTATGAGACACTCGATCTTGGGCAAGTCACATAACCTCAGTGAGCCTCTTCGGCAAAATGGGCGTGTGAAAATGCCAAGGAATTTTGCGGTGATTAAACCAAGCACTGCATTTGGAAGCATTTTGTAAACTGGAACTAAAAATGTAGTTCCTATCAGCAAATGTGTCGTCCTGGCTCCTGGCGTAAGAGACGGTGTCTATCGAGGGGTGCGTCTCAGACTCTTCCTCTGCAGTAAGTGGGGTGGGGCTCATGGAGGAGGTGGGGTGAGGGTTAGGTCCCCTTTGTTTAGGGGTCCTAAAGTGCTGTGTCCATGGGGCTACTTTCCAGGACATGGCTGTTAGGGCTTGGAAGCCCTTTCTTCTTAGGGTCCCATTTAATCTGCATGGTTGTGTAGAGAGAGGTTTGGCAATACCTGTGTGCCTGTGTTACGGATGAAGCAGCTGCTGATGAGAGAGGGGAAATGATTTTCTCAAGTTCTCAGGGTAGCAAAGGAGTTTAGACTGTGCCTCTTTTGATTTCTGATCAGGGTTCCTTCATTCACCACGTACCACGATGTATCTTCATGACACAGAACAGAGGTTTCCACACTTTCTGATCATGAGCCACAGCAAGAGACCCCTTTTGCACGTACACACATTGAGCGTACAACAGAAATCAAAGCATCAAGAAACAATACCCTGATTATGTAATATGCACCCTATTTTGTTCTAGTCACAGCTCATTAAATTGCGTTCAGTAGGGCACCTCACAAGCATGTGAGTCCTTGCCACAACGCCGGGCCACACCTGATGACAAGCAAGGCCACACACCCCAGTGGCCCCAGAGAGAAGGTCTTCAGCCTGAAGCTACAGGAGGACCCTTCAGGCCCACGCGGCTGTCCTGCCAGAGCGTTCCCACTGACACAAGTGCCAGTCTCTCCGACTAGTCAGGTGAAGACCCGGTGTCATGGAGACCCACAGGACAGGACGCAATCTTCGTGTAGTGCTCTGGGGCAGACAGGAGACCCCATTCTCCCTGTGCAACCTCTACTTTTTCACACGCTGAGAGACGCTATGAGAGATGCAGGGCAGCTGGTGTTGGATCAGTGCCATCTCTGTTTTTTAAATAAATTTTGGGGGAAAAGGTTGCATTAAGGTCCTCAGGCTTTTCCTTTTGGATTTTTGTTTGTGAATAGTTGTTAATAATGAAGCTACCAATAACAACTTAAAACACCCATATATAAAGTAACAGTTTTACATTGACATGGCAATTAAAAAAAAAGTCAAAGTGTTTTCTAGATATAGCAGTAGCTTGCTTAAGTACGAAACAGAAATGCTTTTTGAAAAATTGTGAGTGAATATGGTAATTTAAATATACACGAAGAGCATGAAAACAGTATGAGCTTTGGGCTCCGGCCGACCTGGGTTTGAGTAGGGTCCTGGCCCTTTCGGACCTGCAGAACTGGGCAAGTTCCTCCTCTAATCTCCCTCATATCTCCTCATATCAAAAGGGGAAAATGATACTTACTGCACAGGACCGCTGTGGGGACTAAACAGACTTGTCAGCAATTCATTAGCTCTCCCTTTCATTTTAAATTTAGCAAATATGCCATTTTGGGTATGTCAGTACGTCCATATGTTTATATGTCAGCTTTCATGTATGTGTCACATCCGGTTTCATAAAAATAAGATTCCAACTATCCTTTCTACAGTCTTCTCCAAGCAGGAAACGGGAAAGGATATTCATTTTAAAAACTGAGTCCCACCAGGAGCGTGTTAGGGGCCAAACCAAGCCTGAAGTCCACTGTAGTAACTTCCACCCCTGGTGAATGCCCGGGCCCCTCTGCTAACTCGGACACCAGGCCCCCAACTTCCAAGCAGAGGGTGGGGAGGGGGCTCGCGTGCTTGCAGACACACCTGTCCACGTCTTAGTCGGACTCTGCCTCTACTCATGAGCCTTACTCTGTTTTGGACCGTCAGTGAGCATGAGCTGGGCTCGGAGGCTGACCTTTCTTTTCCTGGGGATGGGCTCGTCAAAGAGCAGGTTGCCGGCCTCGGCCTCGTCGATGCCGTCGTCGGGCGCGGGGCTGCGGAAAGGCTTGGAGCTGTCGGCGGACAGTGGCGGCGACGGCGTGGACGGGTTGGACTGGTCGCTGGGGGCGCTCCAGCTCCAGTAGCCGCTGCTGCTGCAGCTGCTGGAAGGGGCGCCGCCCTCCTTCCAGGATCCGCTGAGGCCCTCTGTGCATCCAGACAGACAGACAGACACAGGGTCAGGGCGGCCTGGCAGCCGGGGAGGGGGCATAAGGTGTGGGTGTGGGTGCGGGAGAGGGTGGGGGACACGTGCAGCACACTCAGTAATGTGCAACAGCTGGGGATGCACTGTTTATACCTCCAAAAAAAAAAAAGTCACATTATCGTTTATAAACATTCAGCTATTTTTATCACAACAGGTTTTTCTAACAGTTTTCTGATGTGTGCGGTTTTGTGCAACAGTTGTTCCTTAGGATGATAGTGGAGATTAGATGAAAACAAGAAAAAGATGTCCTTGTTCACCAAGTTTGGGGAGCTCTGAGTTGATGGAGCTTATCTGTATTCCTAAGAGGGGAATCATTTGCGCTGTTCACTCCACCCCAACCCCCCCACCCTGCATTTTAACTTTTTAAAAGGAATGTCTCATAGGTCTGTGATCTTTGGAATAGAATACATTTATAGAAAGAGTTAGTCCAAGATTTAAGAATCTAAGAGAAACAATGATTTCTGGACAGTTACCTAAAGCCACTGACCTATTATAACAAATAACAATGCCTTCCGTTTGATAAGGTGGTTTCCATCTCACAGAGCTTCTTCACACAAGCTCATGCATTCTCACAACATCTGTGTCTCCCGAGTAAGGACTGTCAGGCCCGTGTCACCAATGGGGACCCTGAGGCACCCGGAAGCTAAGTGATTTGCCAGGTGACTGGCGTTGGGCCAGGACACCCAAAGCCTGGCCTACCAGCTGGACTTCTCTCCTTCAATGTACGCAGGCCCTGTGCTGTGGGCACCCTCCTCTCCCTCCAGCAAAGCTGAGATCAGGGAAGAATTCATTGGTCATAATTACTGATGAGATTGCTGTTGAATGTTAGCTTTCCACTTGTGGGGGAACCATGAAATACTGGCTAACACAGAGAGGCCCAGTTAGAATGTCTTTGGGGAGGCTCTTTCAATCACGGAAGATATGCTATTCCCTGCAAGATGCACAGTCTCAATTAGCTTTTGCATAAATTCGGCTTTCTTTTTGGATAATTTCTCCTCCATATTTCTGTGCCTTTTGAATATATTAAAACTATCGTCTAAGTACAAGGGGGGAAAAAAATCCCCAAATGCCTCATTAAAAAAATGCTGTTAACATCTGTGTAATTAGTCATGAAGGAAAGACACAGGATAGACCAGCACTCATGGGAAAATGTCTCGACTACCTTTATCTACTTATAGATTTCCAGATTTCCAGCATAGTCCTCAACTTAACGTTAAGCAAACAGTTCAGGGAGAGGAATAAAGTTTGAAGTTGAAAGAGCAGGAGGAAGTTACCTGCCTCGTTAAAGCAAGGCTCTAACAGATCAACTGGTCATTTCTGCAGGATCCTGCCTTTCGTGCATCAACCAAACCAAATTGCATCTCCCTCCCTGAGCCTACCTGACATGGATATACTCACAGACCCGAGTCGTCTCTTATGCATAAGAAAGCCCCGCTCAATACAACATGACTTCCAGATGAGCCTAATGGACGGCCTCAGGTAGTATTACCTGGTGTGACAAACGCCTTGGCAGGCTCAGGAGGCTTATTAACACACCGCAGCATGCACTTGGAAAATAAAATAAGTTTGTGGTGCGAGATGTATAATCATGTTAAGTGTGAGGAACTGAATTTATTTTCAGAAGCACCTATTATTTCAGTGTGGTTACCTTGCGTCACATCAATGCCAACAGTTAATTTGCTTTCTTGGGAATGACATTTCCTTTAAGAAGTACTATTTAATTGCAAGGACAATGTGATACAGAAATGAGTTTTTCAGAAAACGGTCAGAACCAGTTTGTCATATTTTTAGAGAGCAGTGTCTCCTTATCTTAAACAAGTGTTTGCCCGAAAGGCAGCCAGGCTCGGCTGGGCTCTCTCCCTGCTGGCAGACCTACATCCTGACCAAGGATCCCAACAGTTTCCAAAAATCTACTGATATACAATAATCTGGAGAGAGTCTTTATTTCTAAAAAAAAAAAAAAAAAAGCTTCATTATCATAAATTGCTTTTCCTTCTTATGAATTTGTTTCCCATTGCAGACTAAATGAGATATCAGACAATTTGGGATTACTAGTTGGGTAGTTATTTTTTAAATCATAATGAACACTGAATTACTTTCTTTGTAATTATGCTAGCAAACATTTGTATCGATGAAGCGAAAGGTTTATTTTGATTCTAACCCTTCAAGAGAAAGGAACATTACAAACATTCTCGACTGAAAAAGAACGCCATGGTAAAAATAATGATTGCATTAAAACAGGCTATGTGTCCTTTGAGGAGTCCATGAAATTCTGCAATTCCTTTTCCTGAGGACTGGTTCTGGAGGCCCCCAGTTTTGCTCGTCCTGCTATCTTTCTTTCATGGTGTTGCCACACTGAGAAACGTAAGTCAGAATGCTTGTTAAAAATGCCCCGAAAAGACAGGTCAGGTGGTGGGTGCAACAGGGCCGGTGGGGCTCGTCTCAAGAGCCCCTCATCCACTCCGTGTAAAGAGGTGCCACTGACCTTGCGTGTGATGGTCATGATGGTGAGCGCTACTGACCTATACCACAGGAATCTGAGCTCCCAGCATCCCGGTCCTTCTTCTCACCTACAGCTTGAGTGGAGTCCATTTCGGTGAGGACTCAATGGATGCTCGACAAATTTCACACGTTACGGTTACAACCAAGCCATGTGTGAAGCACAGCTCACTCTCAGAACTGACTGGGCTGGCTTTTGAGAGGCTGTCCCTCACTGGCAATATTCACCCTGTCATTACAGGGTCATTACACTTCAGTGAACTGCATTGTGGTACCCACTGCGGGTGGTCCGCCGCGAATGCTCTGGCCAAAACTCCCTCCGGTGATTTTCTTGATGCGGACTCAGTCCGTCTCATGCTTGCGCTTCCGAAGCATCAGATACCTCTCCTGGACACTTGTTTTGCCCTTGGCTTCCAGGAACCCACACTCTCCTAGCTCTCCTCTACTTCTCCCTCAGGTCACCCCTCAGGCCTTCCCCCGGCTGCTCCCTTACATGACGGTAAGCCTCACCACGGCCCCCTTCACCCCTCTCTTCTCCTCCCACTCTGCCTCAACACAGCTCTCAGGGTGATCCCATCCACTCTCACGGCTTCCAAACGTCGCACCCAGTTCTGCACCCACAGCCCACACCTCTCTCCCGGCTGCACCCACATCTCCACCAGCCTCTGCCCCTTGAACGAGCCTCAGGTACTGCCCGCTAAACATGTCTCAAACTGGACCTATCGTCTGCTTCCGTGACCCCACCTCTTGCTCCAAACATGCACCAATAGGTACGTTCCTCGGCTTCTGTTCCCGTCGCAGGGAATGGGCCTCCTTGCTTAAGCACGGCGGCTGCCTGGAAGTCACCCGTCACCCCTCCCCGTCACCCTCTCTGTCCATCACCAAGGCCTGTTGATTCTACCTTTCTCACATTTCTCAAGTATCTGATTTGTCCCTGCTGTGATCACCAAGGCTCAGGACAGCCACATGGTTTGGGCTATTTTTGTTTGTTTCTTTTTGTTGTGTTTTGGTTTTTTTTAATATATAAATCCAATCGTAACTTTCCAGTGAGTTCCGAAATCACTGACTAGCTCTCCTGCAGCCTCAGATGAATGTCTGAACCCGACAGGCACACAGGGCCCCTCTTGCTAGATCTCCTGCCAGGCTCTCACACTCCACGTCCTGCTGCCCTCCTGACTTACCACACTGAATTACGTGAGGCCATAGTCTATCATCGTTAAGACGGCAGATCCAGGACGCAAAGGATGTGCAAGAGAACGTCAACTAATCCCCACGTGCCTCAGTTTACTCATCTAAAGTAGTGGTAATCACATTTCATAGAATGCTGAGAACTACATGAGATAAAGCAGGTCCAGTGCCTTGCACACAGCAAGTGTTCAGTAAATGCTATCCATCAGCATGGCTGTGATCGAGTCTTTTTTCCCCGAAGAGATTGAACACTACGTGGGAGTATGGACATTGTTTCCGGTGATATGTCCAAACCATCTAGCATAGCACCTACTAAACATGCTGAATGAATGAATGAATGAATGAATGAATGGACTAAATAATTCTATTGATTAAGGAGTCTGGGATAATGCTTTTTCAAAATGCTTAATCTTTAGAGTTCTTTGATCTAACTAGCTCTCTGATCAAACAGGAAAAATGCCAGGGAAAGTAACTTCATTAGACCAATCTCCCTTTACCTGGGGGAAAAGGAACACAAGCATGCAAATACATGTTCTGGAAAGGTGATGGAGCTTAGTCAATGTGCATGGGATGGATGGATGAATAAATGGATGGATGGATGGATGATGGATGGATGGATGGATGGATGGATGGATGATGGATGGATGGATGATGGATGGATGGATGGATGATGATGGATGGATGGATGGATGATGGATGGATGGATGGATGGATGGATGGATGGAGGATGGATGATGGATGGATGGATGGATGGATGCATGAGGTGCAGTGGGGTCTCTAGGAAGATGAGGAGGAAGTGATGGCTCTGAGGTCTCCATTTCATCCACATTTCCCTTTGCTTCCTGTTCATGGTGAGGGCTAATCGTTCATTTGAGAAGAATGAGGACCCTCAAAGGGAGGCTGTGCTCTTGGAGTCCAGGGGCCCTTCCCTAAGCCCCAGACCCCACTTACCATTCGGCCGCACAGGAGGGCTTCGGACCAAAGGGCTGGTGGACAAGCTGGTTAGTACCATTGCCGCCGTCACCTTGTCCATGTCCAGTTCCTCTGAGGATTTCCTGGGAAACAGGGAGGGATGTTGTTAGCTGTGCTCACTCTGCATCCACTGTGGGCCACACCACGTACCACACGCTGCCACACGTGTTTACCCCTTGAACTCATCCCCTTGAACACCCAAGGGTTTGTTAGCTTTATTGTAGAGATAAGGAAGCCAAAGTCCAGAGGCTAAGGGGTCCAGTCCAAACTCTATAGTATTAGGGAGTGAAGGATTCAGTCACCGGTTATTCATCTAACAAGTGTTGAGTGAGAGCGTCCCAGACACTCTTCTGGGCGAGGGGGTTGCGTGGAGAACAGCAGACAGGCTGGGGGTGGGGAGGGAAACACCGTTCTCAGCAAACCAACCAAAAAGAACAGAGTAGCTTCTGATGGTGACAAGGGCTATGAAGGCATACACGGGCTGACATGACAGTGACTGTGGGTGGCCGCACTGAGATGGTCAGGAATGGTCTCTCTGAGGAGGTGACAGTGTGAGGCGGGGGAGGAGGCAGCCGTGGGAGGTGGGGAACTGCGCCAAGCAGAAGGAACAGCTGGGTACAGGCAAGGCGTCAGGAATGAGGGCTGGGTGTCTGAAGTGCGAGAGGGGAGAAGGAAGCAGAGCTGGTCACGGGGCGTCCTGTGGCCCTAGCAGGTGTTCCAATTCTACTGAAAGCGAACAGGAGGTCACCGGAAGGACGTAAGCGGGCCTAGTGACGTAATACGATTCATGTTTTAAAAATGGTGACCCGAGTTGCTATCTGGAGAACAGATTGTTGGGAAGGAGGATGGAGCAGAGAGGCCAGGTGTGTAAGCTTCTTGGAATCATGAAGTTGATAAAGAGAGGAGAAGGTGTGTGCAGGACACCGACATCCCAGAAGCCGCACTACCTCCTTAGAGATGAACATTTTAGCTGGGGAACAGCTGAAGAAGCACAGCAGAGGATTGCTGAGCCATAGTGACACACGAGTTGTCACGTGGACAAATGTGGCCCTCGCTCACAGGTGCGCTGGCTAATTTGCAAAAGCAGTGAAGTCGTAGGGAGAGAAAGTTTAGAGCGCTGCTTCTCAACACAGTGGGATGAGAGATTCCTGAACTAGCGAAGAATCAACTTGTTCCACAGTTGAGGGGGCCGCTCAATTAATGTCATGATGAAGCCATGAAAATGTGTACAGTTCGGCTCTCCAGCATCCACTGTGATGTTAATTACTAAGCAAACCCTACTCCTCCAATCCAAGGTACCAAAAGATGGAAATCTTTGAAATTTCCTTCTATAGTTCTTCCCAAAGCACCTTATACTCTTTCTTGGAAAACTGTTCCACCGAATGACATGTTTTTCTCAGAGACTGGCAATTCAAAAATGCTTCTAGGAAACAAATTTGAGAGTACACAGTGCGATTCACTCTGCAGAAGTTTTCAAGACAATCTCACACATTAGTGGAACAACAACTGCTCAGTCACCAGCATATCATTAGAAGAATCTATGCAAAATTTGCAAGGTCTGTACTTAGGAGTATAAAGGTGGTGCCAGAAACAAAGCCCCTGCAACGGCACCTGGGGAGGATTTAACACCCCTCTAGGTCACTTTGAGTGTTGTGGTTCCACCTCCCCGTGTAGTCATGTCACAGGGGGAGGAGTACCTCGGGGGCCTCGAAGGAGAAAGGCTTGCTGTGTAGACTGCTGTGTGGACCCTGAGGCTCCTGTGGCTGGTTGCCCTCCCCAGAGCCCAGCTGTCAGGATGGCCCCACGCCAGCATGGGGCACAGGAGCAGGCCACCCTGTCACCTCTCCCAAGGCTGCATTGCAGCAGCTGCAGACTGCTCTTTCCACCTGTCTGTCTTCTCTTGTTCTCTTATTAACAGAAGGTTTGAGAACCAGGGTAAGAGGCCCCGGAGCCCGGCGCAGGGGAATGGCTCAGTCAGCAGAGAGCAGACCTCTGCCCTCCACCCTCACCCCGCCCTCACGCCCTTCCCTCTTCTGCATTCTGGTTTCTTCTTCTCCCTTTTTTCGTCTGCTTTGTATCTTTATTTTGACGTTGCACACCTAATGTTTGTTCTAGAGGTCTAATCGATAACTAATTCAAAAGTTGATTTGTGCGTCTTTTAAAAATATGTATCATAAAATGTGCGTTTTGATTTTGTTTTGGCATTGACAAAGTCTGCCCCGATGGTTCAGTATAATTATTGTCATAGAGCAGACTCTGGCGAACAAATATGAGTACCATCAGAGTGTCTTTGTGTTGGGCTACCTGTAAATCTCCCACTGGTGGCCACTGACACCACCACCACCACGACAAAAATCAAAGGACTACACTGCTCACAATTCAGTGAACCTGTATTTCTCAGGCTATTTTTATTGTGCTGTCTGAAACGTTACCAGATCATAGGGCCTTGTGCGGAGATGTGTTTTTGTTTTATTTTTGTTCAATTTCTTTTGGTGCAGTGCTATCTAATTACTGATTAATTGGTGCTGCAAATTCCAGTCCTTATAATTAAACACCAAGAGATGATACACAACACAGAGTTTCTTACACTTGGAGAAAGCTGCTGCAAAGGCCTTCTGGTATATATTTCGAGTTGTTGAGAAAAAAAAAAACCCACCCAAGGAGATGTTAAATGTTCTCTCCAAATTGGAAATTGAATTTCAATCTACTGTTGAAAACTTCACCAGTCACATGCTTCCATGAGGCTGAGACCTTTTCCAATGAATCTTTCCTCCCAGACTTAGTTGAGTATTATGGAACTTAATTTAGAATAATTTAAACCTAACAGTCACGGTCATTGTCATCCTGTCTACAGCTGTCTCTCGGGTTGACCTGACTTTCATGATGAGTAGGATTTCCTGATGGGAGAATCACAGTTTCAGGCAAGGAAGCAGGCACATCCCTGACTTGCAAACAGCTTAGGAGTCCCAGTTCAAGGACGCAGTGGGAGATGAGACAGAGGCCCGCTCACCAGGCCTCGAGCCAGGCTAAGTGGTTTGTCCTGCTCTTGGAAGCAGAGAGAGACACTGAACGTTCATGAACCCAGGAGAGAGACAGGTGATCAATCCATATTTTAGAAATGGGTCAAAATGCAACATGTAATGGAAAGGGGGGGGGAAAGAACTAACGGTGGGCTATGAGCTATGTTTAGTTAAATCTTAATCCAAACCCAAAGTACGAGGCTAAGGGACAACCGTGCCTCTATGAACAGACAGTAGTTAGTCTGTGAGCCCAGAACGCCCTTGATATCTGCTAAGGATGTGTGTCTGGGAGACGAGAACGCGCAGGGTCCCTGCCATCGCTAGCTGTGTGGCATTGGGGAAGTTACTTAACATCTCTGGGTCTCTGTTCCTGCATCTGTAACAGAAGGATAAAAATAGATCTGGTGAGAAGAGTCAACCAGAACACACCCGGGGATGTGAGCTATTGGTAACCTTCAAATTCATGAACCCACCCCTAGTATCCATTCCACGCGCCCCTTGCTCTTCTTACTCGGCACCAACACGACCAGCTGTTGCTTTTCTTCTTTTTTAGGGGGGATGAAGGGAGAGGCAGGGCTGTGGGTGGTGTTCTTTTTCATAAAGAAGCAAACTAGTACAACTTCATAGGAATTACTCCGCCAGAGGCGGCGACTGGCACGTGGCGGGCGGGGGGCTACCGCGTCCCTCGCTAGGGCTCTGTCGCTGCCTTGGCCGAGAGCCAGCTCATGACACCGATGGCTCTCGAGGACTGTCCACAACAGTCCAAGCCTGGGATGCGTTTGGACGTCACGGCCAAGTGCGTCTGCTTTTAACCCTCCCTCTTGGAGGATCATCTCCGTGCCAGGGGTTCTGCCGGACGCCGGAAGGGGGGTGTCCATGGAAACCCGGCGGCCTCTGCCCTGAGCTCTGGTCCGGCGGAGAGCTGGATCTTAGTCAAACACGCACAAATAACGTGAAACCCGCAGACGTGAGGGATGCCAGGCGCTCCCGTCGGAGGCAGAAGCAGCGTCAGGGCAGGCAAGGCTGCCTTCACAGGGAGCAGAAGGGCTCCGCATGGTGCGCCCTGCGCTTGGGGAGGCGACAGCCCCAGGAGGGCCTTCGCAGGTCCCTCAGGCTTTGACTCCTTATCTTCAAGGCCCTGGCAGGTGGAGGGGTGGAGGTGGGGTGGGGGGGCACTGAAGTGTTTCAGGCAGAGTGGGCTCCGGAGCGGTCAGGTCAGGTTGGAGTGATGCTATCAGATTTGCTTTTCAAACAGCTGGCTCTGGCTGCCAGGTGGAAAATGAGTTTCTCGGGTTTGACAACTGATCTTTTATCTGAGGAACTGACTGCCTGGTGACTGTGTGGCAGGTTGCAGAATGACCTCATCTGTGACAGGAAGACGCTGGCAGTCAGGAGCGTGTGCAGCGTCCGCGGACAGGGCTGTGGGCGCTGGGCGTGGTGCATGGGTGGGTGCTGCTGGTCTGGCCCTGAGCGCTGCGCCAAGGCTGCGCCTGGAAGGCCGGCTATGGTTTAGGCCCCAAGAAGCCTTTTTTCTCCTTCTGAGCCACTTTGTGCCTAAATGTCATGTGCTGGGGGGGGTGCATACAAACGCTGTCTCCCTTGCCTAACCCACCCCTAAGAGAAATGTTTTACAGCCCAGAGAGCTGTAAAAGACGTTTACCTGCAATTAAAGGGCTGCAGTAACTAACATACGGAAATAAAAATGACGGGTACACCCTTTTGATTAGCACAGATCCTGCACCTTAACAACTCCCCAAATCTGTTGTCCAGACCAAGTTCAGTGACTCTTAAAACTTGTGGTCATCCTAAAACACGGAACAAAGCCTGAAAACAAAATCTGTTCCTCTGGAAAAACTTGGTTTCCTTTCTAAAGGAACCTTGTCGCAAAAGTGGTCAGCATCAGCTCTCCAAATTCATTCTGGCTGTTGCTGAAGACTGCAGGGAAGATTACGGAAGCTGACTGTTGCAATCAAGTGTTCCGTGGCCTGGATCAAACCAGATGGGGGACGTAGAGCAAACACACCATAACACCCCAGGCAGTGTAGACCCGTGCTTCAGAAACT